CAGCGCTGCCTCCAGTCCAGAAAGGAAGTTTATTAGTGTGAATTAGCCTGTGCCATTCAGCAGCCTCTTAATGAGATTGGTGTTATTCGAGCCTGATCCTTCTTATCAGCGGAGCTGTGAACTGCTCAACTCAGGACGCTTAATTTCTCGCCATGGAGCCAATCCTTTAATCCCGATTCAGCCTGGCTGGGATTCCGCCTGGCTTTTGGTTGGATTGCCCTGGAGCATTCTCCTGCCGCGCTGGACCAGAACAAAGCAACCTACAGCTCCAGGGGAAATAAGTCAAAATGCCTGGAGAGGTGGGGCCACCTCAAGGCTCAGCCTCAATTTGCATATTAATGGCTTCTGTCCTCCACGCCGGGGGTGGGGGGGTGGGGGGGGTGGGGGGGTGGGGGGGGCGGAGGCGGGGGCAGGAACGTCCTTTCTCTTTCCTAATTAGGGTTCAGCTTCCAGAAGCTGTTAGCAGGCAGGTGAAGTACAGGCTTCACCTGCAGGCTGTGGGGATCTCGATTAAAGGATATGTTCAAGCAGTGGTCCCCAAGCACAGTGCCAGTGACACTAGCCCGGTTTCCCATAGGGGACAGTCTGTTGAACTGAGTGGGCTTTCAACACCTTTCCTTGCAAGGGGTGGCTGAGATTCTGGAAGCTGGAGTAAGGAGTGCAGCAGTAAACCTGGGGTCTGTGTGCACCTGTTTTAGAGATGAAGATAAGGTTTGCTGACTGAGGTCACCCAGCACATCAGTGGAAGCAGAACTACAACACCAGTGTGCTACGTGCCAGCAGAAGCAAAGCCTCAACTTTAGAGCTCATCAGAAATTTAAAAAAAGATCCTTAAAAAGATCATGTGAATTAGTGTCCAGTATAGGTAGCTCGTAAGTGTAAATGTTGACTAAATGAATGACTGAGGATACACTAATAAACCAGCAATGAACATTAAATAAGTTCTAGGGCTATAATACAGCTTGTTTTTTAGAGATAGGGTCTTGCTATGTATCCAGGCTGCCCCTGAATTCACTATGTAGCCCAGGCTACCCTTGAACTTGTGGGATTCTCCTGCCTCAGTCTTCTGAGTGCTGGAATTACAAGATTGAGCCATCACATTTGTGACTAGGACTGTAATATTTCTGCCTGTCAGCACAGATCTGGAAAAGTGTTATGGTTGATACATTGTGTCAATCTGAGAAGTTCAGAAGTTTAAGAGGCTCACCAGGGAGCCAGGATCCTTACTTGGTAAATATTATCATTCTGTGCAGGAGGAGGGCACAGAGATCTTGTTGAGTGCTTCATCCGCCTTGGGGGTGGGGCTGGAATGGCCTGCATACAATATAAGGGAGGAAAAGAAGCTTGTTCTCCCTCTTTTATTCTGGCTGCTGCCTGGAAGTGTTGCCCCTGTATTATATCATCCTGCCTTGGAGCCAGCTGATTATGGACTGAAACCTCCACAGACAGTGAACTAAATAAACCTTTCCTTCCTTCATTTTGGGTGTCAGGTATTTTGTCCTAGCAACCAGAGAAAAGTAACCAAGACAGAATATGGTAACAATACAGTGAGGTCATTGCTGTGACTGTATCTGACCATGTGGTTCAAGAGCTTTTGGAGATGGCTTGTGGGAAGAGTTTGGAAAGACCTGGAATGCCTTAGGCTGTTCTGTATGGGAGAACAGCCTGGTCAGTGCTCAGAAGAGCAGAAAACCAGTAAAGATCAGGCTTGCGAGGTTTCAGCTGGGAAGAAGGACTGCACTGGTTGTTGGACTTCGGATGATGTGTGTTATGGCTAGGCAAAAAGTTTGTATTTTTCTTGTGTCCAGAGACTTTGCCTGAGACTAAGATGAAGGGTGGTGGACTAATTAATCTGGCAGAGGAAATTTCAAGGCTGTCGAATGTTGAAGCTGTGACATGGCTATTGTTGGGGGGCTTTTAGCCTGATTTATGTTGAGAATCAAGAGTGAAGAGCCCAATAGGATGATTTAAAGATTGTGAGTTTGGCCAGAAAGGAAGCTCCAATGAAGCTGTGGACTGCACAGACACATCTGAAGAAATTTTGACTGTTGAAAAGGAAAAGGAGAACAAAAAAGATGGCCTGAAGGCATCACTAATAGCAGCAAGTCTCTAATCCCTGCAGCTTCAAAACTGCAAAAGTGAAAGACTTTGCTTGTAGGAGAAAGCTGCAGAATATAATGTTCCAGAATGGTGGTGGCATAGAAAATTTGTTACTCAGAATTGGATTCAGAGTGCCCTGAGATCCTGGCACTCAATCCCTACAGCCAAAATAGAAAGCCTGGCTACTGCTCCAGCTGGCAGCAGACCTTAGCATCATCTATGTGGTGCTGGTTTTAGGTGCATACAGAATGCAAGAGTTCTGAAGTTAAAACGTCTTGTAACTCAATTTCAAAAGGCCTGGGAGGCCAGGCAGTGTGACCCTGAAAGGGCAGTATGTGAAGCTGTGAGTGTAAAGCCAAAGGTGCAGGGGAGACCTCAGAAGTTTGCAAAAGCTGGGAATGTGGATCATCTAAGGAAAGCTGCACAGAGCAAGCAAAGTGGGCCTAAGAGAGAAGCTGTGGGAGTTATAACCACCTGAAGTGCCACCCAAGCCCTTTGGAGCTCACAATTTGCCACAGATTGCTTCAGATACTGCATGAAATTATCGGATTTAACATTTGCTCTGCTGGATTTTGGACTTGCTTTGGTCCCAATCCTTTGTATTTCCCAATTGTAACTTTTGGAATGAAAATGTTTATCTTGTGCTATTGTATGTTGGAAATGTTTGTTTTCATTTGTACAGGGGCTTGCCACTAGAGTTGGCCTTACATCTTGGAGACCTGAGACTTGGACATTTTAGCAGCTTTTGCAGATGCACTAAATGTCTTTTGCATAAAGGAATGTTTATGAATCTTTGCTGGGGAGAGGGGAGGCCAGGACAAAATGTCATGTTTCTCATGTAATATAATTGATAGACTTAAAGCTGGTTCATAAGGATTGTTAAGCTGTATTATAATGTTCAAGTTTCAGAATACTAAGAATAAGCATGTCTTGTGTCTAGAAAGTGTTTAAAGAATTGTGTCTGGTTGCCAAATTGACAAGGGGTGGATTGCTACAGTTGAAACATAGTATCTACTTGAGAAGTTTAACTAAGAGGCTTAGCAGAGAGCCAGGATCTTTACTTCCTCATCATTCTGTGCAAGGGGAGGGCAGAGATTTTGTTGAGTGCTACATCTGCCCTGGGGGTGTGGTGGGGGTAGAGTGGCCTGTATACAATATAAGGGAGGAAAAGAATCTTGTTCTCCCCCTTTTATTCTGGCTGCTTTGCTGGCTGCTGCCTGGAAGTGTTGCCCCTATGTTATATCATCCTGCCTTGGAGCCAGCTGATTACGGACTGAAACCTCCACAGACAGTAAACTAAATAAACCTTTCCTTCTTTCATTTTGGGTGTCAGGTATACCATAGAAAAAAAGACAGTGAGTGAAAGATTTGTAAACCTTAGAGGGATACAAATAACAAAAACAAAGTGACAGAGGAAATAAGAGCAGCTGCCAATTACTGAGCCTCCATCTTGGGCTAAGCACGTTATTTCTGTTTCTTACTTCTTCCATTTCTATTTCTCAGGCCTTGCAGGTGGGTTAAACCTACATCCCAGGGACCACTTGCCTTTTTTTTTTTTTTTTTTTTTTGAATAATAAAAAATAATTTTAAAAAGGAACATTTGTTGCTAATATACATTTTGTTGCTAATATACATATTATGTACTTATACATAGTTCAAGACAATTTTCTTTACTCTGTGGCTCAGACAAGCCAAAAGGGCGGATGCTCATGCAGGGATATCTGTGGGGGATGGGGGAGGGACAGCTAGCTACAGCTGACCCAAAATTGTATTTCATTTTGCAGAGTGTTAAGCTGTCCCTGGGCACTGGCTCTGGGCATGTTCTAACCATGAATTTAGACTGGTGCTAGAACTAGTTCCTGGCCCTGGAATCTGAGCATCTGTGACAGATATTACTGGTGGTCTGAGGCACTAACAAAATGTGATGTTCTCACAGCCTCCCCCTCTCCCCAGCAGCTAGAGCCCCAAACACCCATGGAAGGAAGGAACTGGATTCCCAAGGGGACTTCTAACCAGGTTGCTGGAATCAGGCTGTAAAGTAAGAAAAAAATGATTACATGTTAAACCACTGGGAATCCTGGGCTTTTTACCTTTATAGCAAATAGTATCTCCCTGATGGAAACAGAAATTATACCAGAAGTGGGGACTGTCATGACCAAAGCCTGCAGCTGGAGATACGGACATGCCCCAGGCAGGGGATACACACCAAGATCTATACTACGTGGTCACAAAACACAAGACAGGGAGGCTTCGAGTGCTGTGCCTAGGCACACAGCAGTGGTTCTTAGTGCAGTCCAGGAACTGCCACAAATCCTACTGCCAAGGATTTATGATGAGAAATGGAATCCTAGGTGCACCCCCTACCTGCACAATCAGAATTCAAGGTGGAGCCTAGAAATCTGCCCTGAAAAGGGCTTCCTGGTGATGCAGGCATGCCCTGCTTTATGGTCAAAGTGTCAAGGTGCATGAAGACTGTCCTGAGATGCACTAACCCAGCCTGCTCCGCTCCCACCTTCTGCCTCTGCTCACTTGGATCTTGAACCACACTCAGTTCCTGCCTGGCCTTGAGGCTCAAAACAAGTGCTCTAGTGTTAAGACATCTTCAACTTTGACCAATCTGACTGCTCCCAAATGGCTTGAACTGTATCCCCAGAGTCAAGACCACCCTGTTGCAGCTGACTGGGGCTCCCCATCCTGTGACCAGTTTCCAGGACACTGCAGGGGCTCTGCTTGTCTCTTCCATGGGCAGGAACTGAGGTTGGGAAGGTAAGAGAGGCTGCCTGTCCATCTGGCTGCTGTGCCCCCTAGTATCCCACCTTTCTATCCACCGGACTCTTACCTGTACCACCTGCCCAGCTGCTGAGCCCTTCCCTACATGGCTTGCCCAGCTGCTCTCTTACCTGCATGAGACTGCATGTGCTCCAGCAGGTTGTTGTAGAACTGGAACTGGATCCCACAGGCGCCACAGGTGTAGGGCTCTGGGAGAAACAAGGTAGCAGGTGAGGAATCTCATGGTTGTTCTGCCAGGCTGCAGGCATCTTGGGAAGCAGGAATCAAATGCACCTACATCTCTGTTTTCGAGGCTCTGGGCCCAGCCTGTTTGCTCCCCTGTCACTAAACCAGAGAGGGAGAGGCTGGGGGAGGAAGGAGATATGGAGAGAGGAAGATATGCAGACAGAAGCTGTTCAACTCCAAGGAGCAGATCTTTATTGAGTGCTTACTGATTGCCGGGCCCTGGAGAAGTCTTGGGAGGACAATTTCTATGGATCAAGAGCTCTCTGAGGGCAGAGACTATGTCCCCTTGGTTTCAAAGGGACCAGAAGAGGTCACCTTTGAATGGCTAAATGAATGAATGAATGGACAAAAGACAAGGTGACAAGCATACACGCCGTAAAGGGGAGGAAAGAGAAAAAAGAAAAAGAAGAAGAGGAGAAAGCCACAGTGAAGCAGGAAGAGAGGTTGCTCAGATGGGCAAGTGAAGAAGGGCCAGAGGAAGACAGAGGCCTGGAGGGAGGTGGAACCCGCCTGTACTGCCAGATCTGGGTCCCCAAGGCTCTCATTAATGCCTGGAAGGGAAGAGGAAGGAGAGGAAGAAAGGAGAAAGGACAAGGATGGAAAGAAGAGGAGGGGATGGAGGAGGACAGCTAGGAAGGAATCGGAAGAGGCGTCCTGAGGCTGTCCTGATGACTGGGAGTGGCAAGTCCTCTGCTTCCACTGGGACTAGGGTGGTGACAGGGTGCTGCCCTACCCGTCCTTGCTCTTCCACCCGCCTGGGCCTTGGCCTGCTGCAGCTGCCCCAGCTGGCTGGTCCGCACACCCAGGTCGGGGCCCTGGGGAGGCCAGCTGAGTCTGCTCCCTACCCTGCCTTGCCCTCACCAGCCCCCCAGAGGACCACCACTTACTCTGCAGGAGAGGGAAAGGATTGGAAATCAGGGGACTTGCAGTTTCTGCAAAAGAGAAACAGTTTAGCTAAGTCTCTTCCAGTTCTGCTGTTTTGTGATCCTCATCGTCTCTCTTTTTAACCAGTGAAGCAGCTGGGGTTCTCAGCAGAGGGGGTGGCACTCACCAGCCCCACTCACAATGTAGGGGGCGGGAATGCTTGGGGGAGGTTGGCTTGGAGGTCACACCCTTCAGAGAATGTAGGCTTCCCATGGGTGCAGGAGCCACTGGACAGGGAAAGACTAGGTAAGGCCATCCCTCTGGGATGTCCTCAGTGACATTCAGGCCACAGGAGTCTTGAAGAGAGAATGTTCATTTGTCACAACCCACTTTGGGGCAGGGCACAGGAAGTTGCTTTCAGGTGGGAACATTGGTGCCAACCACCAGAGCAGCCCCAGGGAGCTGCTGAGCTTCTAAAGGCTGCTGCTTGCCCACACCCCCCTCTCCACCTCTGCCTGGCACTGTCAGTGCCACAGAGGTCACAAAGTATGGCCACACAGTAGGTGGGAAGTCCTGCCTTCACTGTCTACAATCTGAGTGACTCGGGGCTAGAGCTGACCTCTCCTGAGCCTCAGTTTCCTCATCCGAAAAGTGCAGATAACAGTAACACTGCCCTCAACACAGTCGTGGTAAAGATGGAAACAGGTAAGACACACAGAGCTCTGAACACAGGCCAGGCACACAGTAAGCGCTCAATAAATGAGGGCTGCTTGAAGCAGCAGCACTTGACAGGGTCGCTCCTGTCAGCTCTGGTGGTAGGAGTGGCACAGGGGTTATGCACAGGTTGGCTGAGAGTCCAGGGCACATCCAGTGTGCCTGCTGCTACTTATTCCTGAACACCCTCAGATAATCACTCCATCCTAGGCCCACCTGTTGTAGGGAAGCTTACAAAAACCCACAATATTTAAACCCGTGAACAACCACCACCCAAGGCCCCTGACACCTGAGTGTATGATCTGTGTGCTCACAACCGCCTGGGGCTGTGTGTCCTTCACACAATTTGCAGCAGAGGTGAAATTACGAGACAATCACCAGTCATTAGGTGGTAGAGCTGGGTACACACCTGGGTTTAGATGAAGTCGGGACTGCTATTAGTAGGCAAAAAGCACCCCTAAAAGTCTGTGCTCCTGGTGAGTTCCTAACACTCCTGAAGAGTGAGCCATGTCCATTACCTGTCTACACCCAGGCTGTGCCCAGCACCATGGCTGGCACAGATTGGCACTTAACATGTGAGATTTCAACCATACAGAAGAGTGCATGCCTTATCTTAACGCAACCACAGGGGCACAATGCCTGTCCTCTCCTGCCCAGGCTGTCACCGTGCAGACTGGCTTGCTGGCCTTTCTCAAACATTGCTCTGCCCGGCTAAGCCAGGATTCTGCATGAAGCAGCCATCAGGGGGCACCAAACACCACCCAGAAACCTCAGGCAAAGTGACCAGTGTTGTAGGGAGTGGAAAGCAATCTTTGTCCCAAGGGTCCCAGGTTCAAAGTGGAGCCAGAACTTGGGCCTCCAGTTCTCAGAGGTCTCCCTACCACACCCTCTTTGCCTCTCCTGGGAAGAAATAAGCCGTGATGTTTACGTGAAAAATTCAGCAATGGCTGTATCAGGCTGATCATCCAGGCTGGCTGAGAAGACACCATGAATTTTGGAAAGGAGTTCCCCTCTCTCTCCATGGGGAAGGTGAAGAGAAGCACAGAGGGACATCCCTGCGGAAAAGGTCCCTTGTGCTTCTGCCTGGCCCCGCTCTCCTTCTACTTCCATACCCAGCCTCTTCCCAGTGAGAGCCACATGTACCGCAAGAGCCCAGCCCACAGGCACCTGCCAGCACTGCAGAGGGGGTGGTGGCAGCTGTAGCACTGCACAGCTGTCACACACACACTCACCACTGGAGTTCTGTGAACTGCTGTTGGTCTCCTCAAAGTGGTTTTGTGCTTTGCCTTCCACTCTCCGACTGAAAGCGCTTTCTGCTGGGTGGGGAACAGGACCGAGAAAGAAAAGCATGGGGAGTGGTTAGCATACGGTCTTGGAGAGGGGTCCCTAAGGCTGGGTGAATGCAGGGGGCTCTGCTGGGTTGGGGGCGTCAGGACTTCAAGAGGACTTCATAAGCACCTCAGGCTCATGTGAACTGCCTGGCACCTTGCCAATGCCCCAAGAGACTGCTGGTGGGTGACCTACTCAAGGTCCCAGTGCTCCCATTCAGCCAATACAGCAAACAGCAGCATGGGTGCCCCATCTGTGACTCCTGGACATACACAAATCATGTGTCACAGTCATCCTCTGCTCCTTCTGTCAGATTCTGCTGTCATAGTCCCACAAAGGGATGGCAGGGGTGGGGGTGGGGGGCTGCAGCCTACTTCCTGGTGGCAGCTCTGACAGCAGGAGGAGCCCGCAGTGACTGCAGTTCCATCGGGTGGGGGAAGCCTGGATGGCAGGGAGGGTATTTTGGATTAGAAGGAGGAGATTGAGGGCAGCCCCAAATCCTAGAAAGACCAGAGACTAGGGGATGCAGTCAGAGCTCACTTGGGGAAGGGCAAAAGGACTGGTGCCCCCAGGTCTCTGCACCTCTGCTCACCTGCTGGCTTCCAGTCCAGCCAAATGGAAAGTCACAAATGTAGCTGCCCACCCTCCCACGACACATGGACAGTACTGACACAGAAAATCCGAGTTGGGAGGTAAGCCAGCTTTCCCAAGGTGCTCTTAGTACCACAGAGATGCCAGACGATCCAGGAGATGCGGACCCTGGGGATGTGCATCTAACACAGTCTTCTTCTTAAGGAGAAACGATTTGCACAAGATTATATGGCTCAGTAAAGTTCCACCAGCAAAGGACTCATTTCACTTTATTTAATCCAACCTTCCCCAAACACGTCAGGGGTCCTGCAGAGCCCCATTTGAAATAGCAACTCTGTGCTATTCCACACAAAAAAGGTGATTATGGAAAACTTCGCTCTCAGCCTGGCCTCCCTACTGAGAACGCTAAGTGCTGATTGCAAATTCTGGGGCCCTGATGCCCATAGGAAGATGGGGAAGGAAGCCAGTGGCGGCTCCTATGGCCTGCCTGATCTCCTCTCCATCCCAGCCCACAGGGCCTCCCACGGAGCGTTCTTCCTGGAGAGGCTGCTTCTGACGTGGAAGGTCAACACTCCCTTGAAGTGTGACTTAGGAAGCCTGGGCTCAGTGCCACAGGACAGCAACTACACATGAACAAAGACGGCCCTTGGTAGGGAGGGGTCCCGCTCCTGGGCACTGTTATGTGCCAGGCACTGGTTCAGACACTTTACGAACAGTTTGTCTTAGTTCTCACAAAAGCTCTGAGGCTACACTCTTATTTGCATTTTCCAGGTGAAAAAGCAGGACACAGTAAGGCCACCGAAGTCCTCAGGTACATTCCAGCCCTCTGAGATGGCAGAATGGATTCACTCGGGGGTAGGAGGGATTCTGCTCTCCACCTTAAATTCTGGTGTCTGCAGGGGACCAGGTACCTTCTTAGGCAAGAATGTTGCTCCTACCCAACATCTAGGTAGAACTTGACACCATCAAATTGCCAACTCCTACCATGAGTCTCCTACTGCTTAGCTGATGATGTGAAGTGCATGGCCCTGCAGGCGCAATCTTGCACACAGGCGTGCTCACAGGCACAGGTGAGGAGCCACACACCTCATGATGGTGAGGGCCACAACAACTTCTACCTCCAGCATGCACTATCTCCCAGCCCCTGCCAGTTCCTGTTCCCAACCTAGTGCCCTCTGACCTGCCCAGTTGGCAAATCCAGATGTAATCCCCAAGTTGCGAGTCTTCCAAGTCCCATCAAGGCAGCTTCCCAGCTTGTTAGAGGGTCACTTGGAGACACTGAGGGCCATCAACTGCCACACGATGACAAACTTGCCTCTGTGGGCAATTTTCTGCAGAAGATGTAGGCATCAAAACTCCCAGTTGCAAAGCTTGAGTCTGAGCAAGATCTCTAAGCCATAATTCTGGTGAAACACTGTCAACCACCATGAGACCAGGATGACCAATCTGCTTCTGGCTAGTTTAGGACTACTGTTGCAAAACTGCAACTGTCACACCACTGTCTCCCAGACCAGCTGACTCTTCTCCTTTTGAGAGATCTAAGCACAACAAACTATGCCTTTGCCTCCAATTAGCCTCCTGAACCAGAAAACAGGCTCATCACCCAGCCAGAAAGAGCCCATTCACTTGAGGTCACAACTTGATCACTTGTATGTACCATGAATGGTTCTGGTCTTTTAGGGTGTCCGAAAGTGCCAGGGGTGCCACATGACCCCAAACTATATCCTACAGATTCAGGTAACAGTCCAATGCTGGCTCCATGCAAGTGTGAATCCAAGGAATCCTGACAACTGGTACTCAGCATGCAGTGGTGTCATCAGTATTCCTGGGGAGTTTTTATTGCCTGACCACCCTTCTGAGACAGAGCCCTTTCCCATGTGGACTCAGGAGATACAGGAGTCGGCATTCCCTGGTCTCCTGCTGGGTCTCTGTCTCCAAGAGTCATTCCGCAGGCAGTGCTAGATGGGCACAGAGCACCAGGCCCACCACTGCTTCCTGGAGAGCAACTCCATGTTGAAGTAAGTGTTTGCAGACTGATTTTCTTAAAGGTGGAGGGTGCAGACTCATGCTAACAGGGTCCAGGTGGGGAATACAAAGGGATGAACTGGGCTGGATGCACAAAGACAACAGTGTGATCACAATGACAAATGACACCTACCATGGGACCACTGTGGAAGAAAAGCAATGTGGACTGGCAGGGGAAAACTGGACAGCACATGCCCTGTTAAAGGAGACAGCCAATTGTTGCCCTGCAGGAACTTGGGCCCAGAAGCCAGATGTGACTACCCAAAGTCAGCTAGAGATAAAAAGGTTTTCATAAAGTCCCCCACTGTTCAAGGGCTGGCAGTTAGTTTGAGAAGTTTTTAGACCTTCTCAAGGCCAAGTAAAAGAAGCCCAAGGGCACGATTTTGTGGAAAAATATTCTATTACTTTGCAAATCTTCTTGTATCACCCTCTGGTTTGGGGCAAGAGAACCTGGCTCACAGTCACAGAGCTGGCCAGAGGCAGAGCTGGGTCCCATACTTGTTCCGGGGCATGATGGGACTCCACGCTTGCTCTTGCAGGGGAACAATGGCTGAGCATAGTGGCGGCAGGTGGGGAGAAGGCGAGGGGTGGAGGAAGTGTAGGGTGATGCCAGCCATCGGTACCTGCGGTAGCCTTGCTCGCTGGAGATCCCGAATTTGGAGTGCGGAACGTCTGGGTTTGGGTGGCTGGAGGAGTTCGGTGTAAGAGCGTGGCGCATCGGACCACCGAGGCAGGAGCTTTTTTCCCTGACTGGTTCGTCTGGGTCTTCGCTGCCACGAAGCGTGGAGATGGAGTGACCTCTGGATGTGAGCACTCAGAGCCCGTGTCTGGATCGTCCGGCGGCTCCCACCCGGGGGCAGTACCTGAGAGGGTCACGCTCTCAGTCCCCAAGGGACCTTGAAGCTGCGGCATGAGTGGCCTCTCAGACCACAGGTCCCTGTATCTGGAGTTGGGACTTCTGCACCCAACCTCTTCTTCCACAGAGAGCAGGGACTATTGCTCCCACTCAAGAGGTCCCACACTTGGGAGTCTAGAACCTTCTCTAGCACCTCCTCCGAGGGGCCTGCCCACCAGCTCACACTCCGTCACCTGGAGGTGCTTGATCAGCTCATCCTGCGAATCACCTGCGACCCTGACCAGCCCAGTCTCTCATGTCTAAGACCTCAGCTTGGCTTCCTGGCCTTTTGCTCCACAGGAAAGCTGGCTCAGAAGGAAGACAGAAAGCAGAGAGGTAGGGGTCCTGAGGGGGAGGTAGGAGGGTGGAGGGGCCTGATGTCACACCTGTGGTTGTTGGGAAAGGGGCTCTGTGGAACCCCTACTCACAGTGGCTGACAAAGTAGCATACAAAGTGCAGGAGGGCCTGTATTCAGGGAAGCTCACGTCACGTGACCAAGGCACCTGCCTCCCTCAACTGAATTCTCTGCAGAAGATGGTGTCACTGACAGACTGACTCGGTTTCCACCTCTGGCAGTCTTAGCAGGCAACAGTGGCCTGATCCCTTACCCATGGAGTAACCCTCGCCTCTCCCACGTTAGATGCCAGAGGAGGGGCAGGAAGGGGAAGGGACTCCTTGGGTGCTGCTCAGCAGGACAGTCTAGAACCCACAAGAATTAATGACAGTCTAGAACCCACAAGAATTAATGACGTGCATCTGTACACAGGGCCTGCTAACAGCACTGAGCTGTCCGGAAAAGGTCCTGGCTCTGGCTTCCTGCCTCTGGGGTGGTGATGAGCCCTCCGAGGACAGTGCCCATCCTGGACAGCAGAGATGCCACCCACCCCTTAGAGCCTGACGAGAGAGGACCCCAACCCTCCACTTCTCACCATGCCTGGCCCTGAAAGGGAAGCACTGTCCCAAAGAAGCAGGACGTGGGGTCTTGCCTGAGGTCATATGGGCAGTAGTGACAGAAACAGGAAGCCATCAGAGTCCTGTGCCCACAACCTGTGCACTGGGGGAGGAGCAGAGCACAGCTTCACCTACTACAGGGGTGGCCAGAGGCAGCAGCGGGCAGTTCTATCGTCAGGGCTCTCTAAACAAGCCCGGCCCAGGCCAGAAGGAAACGCTGGGCTCAGTGTAGGGGTCTAGGGAAACCCATGAAGGGCTTGATATAAAAACCTGGGGGCACCCCCTGTTCGCCTCCGCTGGGCTCTCCCACTTCCTCTCGGGCCGCTCCCGTCCTTGCCTTCTCACCTACAACATCTGCTCCCCTAAGAGCTCATTCTGCTCTCTCTGCCTGCGACGCTCCTTCTTCAGAGTCCTGACGCCTGGCCCTGTACACTACATGTCAACAGCACTTCTCTAGGGACCTCTGCCTGATGCCAGCCCTTCAACTGACCATCAGTGGGTCCCCTCCTCTCTTCCCTTCCGAGCGCTGATCACCCCTACAGCAACACACGGCGTGGCCTTTTACCCATCTCTCTTTCCTGAGTTACTTGTTTGGTGCCCTATGCACCAATCACCTGGTTTATTCTCTGAGTGCTGTGTGTAGAGAAACTGTGGAGTTCATTACCCGAGGCAGGAATGGCCAGAAGAATAAAACTCAGAGTGCTGAAGCGCACATCAAAGACGGCAGATGGGGCGACTGCCCTAGTGAGGATACACTGTGCCAGGAAGCTGTCTCACACGCTGTCTTCCTCTAGGTCCCGAGGGAACAAGGCAGATGGGACCAGGCTCAGAGAGGTCTGGGCACCTCTCTGGGGTCACTCAGAGGGTCTGGGCTGAGAGAGGAACTGAGGCTTCCACTACCTCATGTCACTCAGCAGTTTGCTTGTCAGAGTGGAACTGCTACATAATCTCATACAAAGAAAGACTCCCAGACAGCTTGGCTGTCTGTGAGAAACACACAGAGGCTATTTACATTCGGGTATCTAAGCCCAGACCTGCTGCCACATGCAATTTACAGCTGGGACAAAAGAACAGTTTTTAGGCCTTGGTCAATAGACGGTGCCAAACTGCAGTTCTCAAGAGACGACACACCCCATGGTCATGCCAGTGCTCTGCCCAGAGTGACCTCTTGATCAGGCACAGAGAAATGGCACAAAGACAATGAAGGCCACCTCACTGAACTAAGGAGACAGTGATCAGAGGTCAGGGCTTCTGACATGGCTGGAATTTGCCATGCAGAACAACAAAGAGAAGAGAACTGAGCAAAGAAAAAATTCCAGAAATGTACATAGAGGTCCTCTTGATGCCTTTGGCTGAGAACTAAGTTGCATTAAGGGTCTGCAGAGCTGAACAGGAAATGGCTAATGGAGGAAGATTCAGAAGCTGCACAACACTGGATATAGTCGGAGTCCTCACCTGCCAGAGTGGAGAAACACTGCTGAAAACATCACATGTTGAGCTGAAACCCAAAAAGGCCAGGCCTTAGCAGAGCTAACCTATAACCCTATAACCTATAACCTTATAACCCTATAACCTATAACCCTAGAAAAAGAACTATTCTAGACCAGCCCTAAAGAAGCTTTTGGAGAACCAAGCTGATCTGCAAGCAAATTAACAGCCTGCCAGAAGAAAGGCAATGCTTTTCAAAGGAAGAAAACAAAATCTAGTCAGTCAACAGCACAGCATCCATACTGTGCAGCACAGACGAGCAGTTACTTTTCACATGAGGCAGGACAGTGAGATTAATAACCAAGAAGAAAATACAGACATGTCAGGGTGGGTGGAATTAGGAGACAATGTGCTCAAAGCTTTGGAGAAGGACAGGAATATGATGAAGAGAAAAAACGAAAGTTATAAAACAAGTAGCCAAGTGGAATTTCCAGAGATTAATAGCTGCATAAGAAACTATCAGGGAATTTAAGTCCAAGCAATAGTGCAGATCCAAATGGGAGCGCACAGGGCCAACAAAGCTGAACAATGAACAGTTTCAGTTGACGTTATCAAACACCTAACATTATCAAATACCTAACATACATGAAACGAAAGTCACAAAAGGGGAAGAAAGAGACATTTGGGAAGAAAAACATGAAGAAATGGTGGCTAAAAACTTCCCAAATCAGGTGAAAAATATAAACCCACTGATTGAAGGAGCTCCATGAACCTTACAAGCACACCATAAACACACCATAATCATAGTTAAGAACCAGTATAACAGAAATATTTTAAAATAACCAGACAAAAATACATTAAATATAGAGGCAAGATAATCAGAATGATCTCTGACATTTCATCAGAAATAACATAATATACAAGATAAAGGAACGATTTTCTTTAAATATTGAAAGAAAATGTTCTCAACCTAGGATTCCATATCCAGAGAAAACACCCATTAAAAATGAAGGAAAAATAAAAGCTTTTTCAGATGTGAGGTCCTTCACCAATGGGCCTACAATGTAAGAAATGCCAAAGAAAGTTCTTGAATAATATAGAAAATTGATTAATAGATAGAATTCAGATTTACATAAGAAAACCAAAGCACAGGAAACAGTAAATGTGTAGGCAAACATAAAAGACATTTTCTAGTTTCTTAAATACCTTCTCAAATAATTTACTATTTAAAGCTAAAACAGTAATTCTTAGGTATGAAACATATGCACGCTGTATGTACCTGTATGATAACAGCACAAAATATAGGAAGTATACTGTTGTAAGGTTTTCTATGAATATAATCTGTTATGATATAAATTCATAGCAGACTATAATACATTAAAGATGTATATAAGCCACAGAGTGAAAAAGAGTTAATAGCAAAAAGTTAACAGAAAACTAAAAGATATTTGCATAATACTACAGATGGCAGGAAAAAAAGAAAAAATTAAAATTAAGAACAAGTGAGATGGAAAAAATGCAATTTGAGAAACTTAAATCCACAATAAAGTATATTAAATGTAAATGGGTTAAATATGTTAATTAAAAGGCAAGGATTTTCAGACCCAAGAGCCAACTGTATGTAGACACTTCACATATGAAACTACAGACTAAAAGAAAAGGATTAAAGGAGATATACCATGTGAATACAAATCCTAAGAGAGCTGTAGTGGCTATCAGTCAAGATAGATTTCATGAAGATGGATATTGCCAGAGATAGACGGTATTGTACAATTTTAAAAAGAGTCAGTTTTTGTCAAGACATAATGATTTTAAGTGTATGCATCTAATGGCAATTTCATACAAGAAGAGTCAAAAAATAGCAGACCTAAAGGGGAAAATAGACAAATCTACAATTATAGTTGAGGATTTTGACACTTCTCAGTCCAAGATATGACAAACTCATATGGTTTTGAAAAGTCAAGAAGGGCACAAAGATCTCAACATTATCAATCAATTTCATCTGACATTAGAAAACAGGCCTTTTATTCAAGTGGACATGGAACACACAAGCAACAGGGTTAGGGTTATAAAAAACAACTCACTAAACTTTAAAGATTAAAAGTCACACAGAATATATACTCTTACCACAAAGGAATTAAATTAGAAATCGGTTTTTAAAAGTTGAGTAATTCACAAATATTTGGAAGTGGATTCTCTAATCCTTCTTAAAAAGAAAATCCCAGCTTTGTTGACTTCCACAAAATATTTATGGAAAATATTACCAATTCTATACAAGTTCTTCAGAAAACTGAATTGGGAAATTCCCTTTCCAACTCATTTTATGAGGGCAGTAATACTGTGATACTCAATGAAGACATTCTTGATATTCTTATCAAGAGGAAAGTTTCCTGTTGGTTAGAATGAAAAATGGCGCAAGCATTTGGGAATAGCATTTGGGCTATTTTTAAAATTAAACATACACCTTCCATACGATTCAGTTATCCCACTCCAATACAAATATTCACAGTAGTTCTGATCTGTATTAGTTTGAAACTAGAAGAGAGTCCAAATGTCTATCCATAAGCGAGCAGATAAAGCAACTGCAGCATGCCTAGACAAAATAGCATATTATGGTCATGCACAAGTTAGCGACCCTTCAGCCAGCAATGGACTACATGGACAATGGCAGCTCATTTCACCTAAAGGTGTCGTGCTGTCTCAGTTTGTGTAAGTACGCTCTCTGATGTTTCCACAGCAAAACTGCCTCACACTGCTCTTCTCAGAATGTCTCTGTCATTAAGCAATGCATGAATGTATTCACCAGTTAAAAGGAATGAACTACTGATGCATGCAAACATGGCTGATTTCAACACAATTATGTTTAATAAAGGAAGCCAGACTCCCTCAAACAACAAAAGAAAACACATACTGTAAGATTCCATTTACATGAAATTCTAGAAAATGCAAACTAATTTATGGTAATATAAAGTAGATCTATGCTTCTGAAGGGGTGGGAAAATGGCAAACAGGGATTACTAAAGGGCTCAAGGAAACTGTTGGGGGTATTCACAAGTGTACCCACAAGTCAAAATACACCATTTAAATAACAGGCTCTTTACTCTATGCTGATATGCCTTGATAATGGTATTTTTAAAAACTTGACCTGAAATTTATTTCCTTGACTTTGACAATTATTAACATACCACTGACTGAATAAGGGGAACTCTAATAATCTTACATTGTATTTCTGTGCCCTTGAGATAGTTTTGGGAGTAATAACAAAAATCAGTAAAAGCCTGGAAATGTTTAGATGGCAGTGAGCAGAAATCATGCCTTAAAAGCAAATTAATTGTAAAAATTACACTGGTTCTTCAAATAACTTAGATGCCTATGCAAGAACTTTATTTACTGTACTGATTACTTCACAGTGTACGTGTACATCAGATTGTAAAATTGTATATATTAAACGCATACTACTAAAAAGTAGAAGTTTTAAAGAATGATCATTCTTTTGATGAAGAAACATCTTTATGTTTTATTTAGTTTATTTTAGAGTTTGTTTTTTTTTATATTCTCAGTGTATTTTAAAAGAATAGGCATAGTGACTTGTTTTTTTTAAAACAATTCATGTCCTTTATCATGCTAACAAAATAAAACAATTCACTAAAATACATTTTCAGTAAATTATGAGCAGAAGGTAATCAGTTTCCCCAAGCGATAAAAAGGGCATCTATGAAAGCCTTCGCCTTAATGATGAAAATGGTCAAATGGTCACATTTAAATATTAAAAGTTGAAGCCTATTATTAGGAATAAAGCAGAGAATCTACTTATTTCTCCTGTTCCAAAAAGGTATGTCCCTAGCAAGATAGTGAGAAAGAAAAATAAATAACAAAAAGAGTAAGAAAGCAGTAAACTGTCTTTAACAGTAAGTGACATCATCGCACACAAGGAGTATCCTTAAAAATTCTGCAAAAAGCTATTACAATTACAAAGCAAATTCAGCAAGTTTGCAAGACAGAAATTCAATATACAAAAATCAATCATTTATATGTAACAGCAACAAAAATTGGAAAATTAAATTTAGAAATCAGTATATCATAAAATTCAAAACACATAAATACTTTAATGTACTATATGAAATAATTGTACTCTGAAAAGCAAAAACTATTGCTCAGAGAAGCTAAACAAGCTCTAAGTACTGGATATATATCCCAGGTGGATTTTTGGGGAGGAATTGTCAAGACTAACATTTATGTAGAAAACTAAAATTCCTAGAGGAGCCCAATCTTTCTAAAAAGAACCAAATTGAAAAATTAAGAGTAGCTATTTTGGGGCTATAAAATTCCAGTAAAAAAAGGCAATGTGGAAATGGAAAAAAGACAAACAGATCAATGAAAAATAAACTCATACGTATACATTGACCTGATTTTCAACACAGGTAGCAATTCATTGCAAAAGGAAAAGAGAGCTTAGATAAATGGTACTGAAATAACCAGGTATTTCTTTGGAATAAAACACGTCTCAACTTATATCTCACATCATTTACAAATGTTAACTTGAAATGGTTGATAGAAATGCAAAAGCTAACCTTATCTGCAAAGCTTCTGAAAGATAATAAAACAGAATACCCTCCCTATCTTGATATAGAATCCAGAAAGCACTGACCATAGAAAACAGTGCTAAACTGAACTTCATCAAGATGAAAAACACATGATCAGGAGATATTGTATGGAAATCTACAGGTATGCCTTTCTTACTTATTCAAAAATGATGAATACTATGTCCACAAAAAGCTTAATGCAATTATTTTCATAGTAGTTTTACTTATGATAGCCTGTAACTAGAAACCCAAAGGAGCAGGTAAATGACAAAACAAAGTGCAGTGTACAGTTTGTTTACGGTGTACACAACTGTATGCAATTCATACAGCGGAACACTGCTTGGAAGTAAAAATGAATTTTCATGAAAGACGCAAGGACAAGAGTACAAATTGTGAGTCTGTTTAGAAGAAGTTCTGTGGCTAGCCTGGGACTTTCTGACTCTAGCCTAAGTCTCCCATGCCGTGTTTGAAACACGGACACTTCTGGAGTTCCTAGACTTCAGTAACTTGGAGAGATTCATTCAACAAGTAGATGCAGAAAAACAAAGAAAAGACAAAACAGAAAGCTAAGGAAAACAAGGAACAGAGAATGAGAAGTAGTCAGTGATCTAGGGGAGAAGCATCAGGATATCAGGAAGGAAAGAAACTAGGGGGCAAGTGACACTTCTGTATCACCACTGTAGATTCAGGACAGCTTCACAGCATACGGGCCTGGAGCCTACCAGAAGGATTTAAAGCCACGTTCTGTCTCACCACCTCATGACCTCGCTTAGATCCAGGAAGTACAGAAGCAGCACTGAAGATCCTCTCCAAAGGCTGAGCCTGAGCTAGCTGCAGGCTGGTCTCATAAGCAATGCCATACTGGAAGTGCATGCTGGGTAGCATCCTCCTACCAGGCAACAGGCAAGAGCTGCTTCCCTGCAGTGCACAGATGCACAGTTGCCGTGAACAGCCCTGAGGCCTGGGTACCTTGGCCATGAATGGATCAAACGGATGGACCAATGTCCACGTAGCACAACCCTTGCATTTTCTCTACTTATGCACCAACTAGCTTCATGGTGGGCACCTGACCATGGCACGTGCCTGCTGAAAGTTGCTTTACACCAAAGGCATCCAGAAGCCAGATCCTAGACTGGAAAGACCTTAGCCTCTCACAGATAGAACTGTACGTTCAGGGAAGGGATGCCATACGTAGCAAGTCACACAGCATTCAAAAGTCAAGCCAGAATGAAAATTCTAGCCTAGCGCTGGACCTCAGGAACATGCAGGTCCATGCAATGTCACTGGCACTCAGTGCAGGGAGACTGCTGCCTCTGGACCTAATCTTCCCAACCACAGAGAAGGGGACAGGGATCTCTACAGCTCTTCCATGAATAATCTGAGCAGTGAAGTCTCCAAACATATTCTTTAACACCTTGCCTTATTACCCTGAGATGCTGTCAGCACAAAGCATCCTCCATCTGAACAGCCAGCGCCAGAGGACTGAGGACCCTCTTAGGTCAGAAGCTTAGGGATCTAAGGATAGAGCCCATCTGACCTGCACAAAAGCAGTTGGGAAGTCAGCAGGGAGGCCCACAGGCATCAGAACGGAAGGCCAGGGTTCTCTGGGGAAAGAGGTCTTGGAGTCTTTCTTTTCCTTTCCAAGGAAGGAGTTAGACACTGAGGGCAAAAGACAGGATGGGGTCGCCAAGGATCACCAGCCGCCTGTGAGCTTGCTTAACACCCAGGGTTCCAGATGCCCAGCCTGCCACGCCTGCTACCTTCTTGCTTTGCACTCTGGAGGACAGAGAGCAAGCTGTCTTGTTTCATCAACCACATTCCTGGCCTGGATCAGTCCCTGCATTAACTCAGACTGAAGCTGCACCACACAACCGTGGCTTGGGGAGTGGGGTTAGGAAGCTCCTGGTTTGGAGGTGTTCAGAGGGAGCTGGGGACAAGCCACTGTAGGGCTTGGACAAGTGATGCTCACCCTCTTAATGCACCAGGCCTCAAGTCCATCACGGGAGGACTCTGACCCTGCAGGTTTGAGGGGGGCTGTCCAGTCCCTACAGTCAGGGCGCCCCAGGTTACACCAGTCACCTGGCCAAAGGCTGGCCTCCTCCCCCACCTCATGATGCCCCATCTCCCACTGGAAAAGGTACTCACTGATGGGGGCGTGTAAGGCCACATGCTCCTGGTAGGGCGTGTAGTACTTGTACTGCTTCCCACAAAACTCACAGGTGTAATTGCCAGTTTCTGTCCAAGAAGGAGAGGGAGGTGTGAGAATGGATACCTGGCCCCGACCCAACAGCATTAGCTCCCCTCCCCCAAACTCCCTTTCATTCCACCAATTAGAATCAAGTCTGACTCAAACTCCAGCCCTGCAACCTGCGGCAAGTCTCTTAACCTCTCTCTGTGCCTCTACTTCCCTACCTGAAAAACAGAAGTAGTCTTGGGACCACCTTGTCAGAGAGATGGCTGTGAGGAATAACGTGTACGCCAAGGGCTTAGGACAGTACCTGGCACACATTCTCTCCTCCATCTCTTTACCCCCAGGCCTGGTGCTCAGAAGTATGTGGTGAACCCAGGTGCTTTCCACGCCAACCTCTCCATCAGCCTTTCTGCAAGCCCTGTCCTCTATGGCCACAGCCAGGCCTATCTCTGAGCGTTTCCCGCCCTTCAGCAGCAGGGGTCACTCTTGGGGTCACTTCCTCTTGCACACCACACTAGACTTTATCTTTCCCTCTCAAAGGCTCTGCCTAACTTCTTTGTTCTTAAAAATGCCTGATGTCTTATTGTTCACTGGGAGAAAATTATAAAATACTGATAAATACAGGCACACATTTTTAAAGCTAAGGAGAAATTTCAATCACCTACGACCCCAAACAACCCTCCAGGGGGCAGCATCCACCTGCTATAGGCCCCAGTCTCCAGCTTCACCCTGTCTCAGCTGCAGGGGACTCCTCTGGCTGATATCATTTCTCTGGCTCCTATGGCCTTGAGTTAGTCAGTCCGGATCAATATCCTCTTTGTAACCTGGTATATGCAATCGACAATACTTTGTGGACATCTTGCCCAATCAATAAGTATTGATCTCCCTGGCCTTTATTGGCTGCATGGTTCCCATGGGACTCTGCAATTTGCTGAGCTAGTCCCCTCCACCAAGAGACCTTTAGATTTATTTCAGATTTTTTTCCTTATTAAAAAAATGCCATGGTCCACACCCTTGTGAAAATTTTTGCACATTTGCTCATTAGTTTTGCACATGATTACAAAATTATGGATTACTGAACAGACTCTTTGCACATTTTTTCCTTAAATTCCAAAAGGCAGGGGAAAGTAAGCATTTTTACAGCCTTCTGATAATCACAGCATCACTATTCCAAACAGAAAAATGTGAAAATGATTGTCCTCACTTATTGCAGCCAACATTAAGCAATATTATGTCTCTCTATTTTGCATATTTGATGGGAGGAACTATACCACACTGTTGAATTTTTCCACTTTCTTTTCTTTCTTTCTTTCTTTCTTTCTTTTTTTTTTTTTTTTTTTTTTTTTGCTTTCTAAGGGAATTATTTTTCCTGTTTAATCAATTAGCTCACCTTTTGTAATTTTTCCTTTACAAATTACCAAGCTCATTGTAGATGAAGGGCAGTAACTTTTTGTTACATATGCTACATGTGTTTTTTTTTTTTTTCCTTAATTTGTTTCTTAGTCTTTTTATGCCTTTCCTCTCCCAGTACAGGAGCTTCAGATCTTTTGGTAGGTAAATAATATAGCTTTGATAAGTAAAAAATTTGTAGCTGACTCATGAACACTGAAAAAGATACATGTTATCTGCTCTATATTGGCTTCAAAGTTGTTCAATCATGTTCAACTAATTATGTTATTCAAATCTTGTATCTCTGTCTACTTGTTCTGGCAAAGATTAAATGTTGTGATATATCCTTTCACTTGGTAGTACCTCTATATTTACTTTGTATTCTTACATACAATATTGTTTAATGCACCAACATTCATAAGATCAAATTCTTCATGAACTCTGTCTGAACAAGAAACTATTTTCTACTACAGGACTTCTCAAAGTGCAGCTTCTGGACCAGCAGCCTCAGCCCTTCTGGGAACCTGCGAGAAATGCAAATTCTCTGGACTGCCCAAGATTTTCAGAAAGAAAAATTCTAAGAGTGGGGCTCAGCAACTTGTGTTTTAATAAGAAAATCCTGATGCATGGGAAAAATTTAAGTACCAGTGCTCTGATGTTTAATTATACTGTCTTATTAATTTGTCTGACTTTAATATCATTAATTATTTTGGTAATTTGCCAGATCCTGCTTTCTATTTGTTTGCATGTGCCTAAAGATACATTTCTACATTTTCTTGTATTGTCATTCATTGAACACACATTGAAGTGCTGAACACAGGCAGAAAGTATTGAAAAAACCAACCATGGTGCCTGTCCTTATGGAGTTTAACAAGAAGACAGAAAAACTGAATAATCACAGAGACAAATTTATTCACTTTTATAATACAGGAGATTGAACCCAGGGCCTCTGCACTGAGCTACAACATCAGCTTCATTCATTCATTCATTCATTCATTCAATTTTTGAGACAGGTCCTTGCTAGATTGCCAACTTTCAATCCTCCAGTCTCAGAGTGCTGGGATTACAAGCACGTGCCATGCCTAGCTCGGACAAATCTGAAACTGCAACAATGACAGGTTACAAATACACTGGTATGAAAATTATGACAGGGACTTTGATCTCTTTAAGGAGGTAGGAAAGAGTTCCCTGTGAGTAAGGAGCATGAGCCCAGTATAAAAGAAAAGGGATTCACTAGGTATGTCTCTAATAAACCATTACAAATTGGATTATTCTAAATTAACCTGACAAAATTTTATCTTTCAACAAAGGAGATTATGTCATTTGTTTATAATTGATTTAGTTTTACAAGTTGAACATCTCTAATCCAAAAATCTTAAAATCCAAAATGTTCTCAAAGCTGAAGCAATCACAAGAGGCCCTAAGTGGAAAATTCCACTCCACGTACAAAACTGTTTTGTACTTCATGTACAAAATTGTTTTTAACAATTGCATGTAATTACCTTCAGGCTATCTCTATCTGCAAATATTCCAAAATCTGAAAAAAAAATCCGAAATCCTCCTAAATATTCCTGGTTCCAAGTATTTCAGATGAGGCATACTCAACCTGTACTTACTTTATAATCCTGCCATCCCGCTGTCGTCTTCCTCCTGCCTCGGATTAAACCCAGAGCCTCACTGGTGTTAAGCAAGGGCTGCACCACTGCACTACATCCCAGCCTCTTGGGCTACTCTATCTGCCTTGCTCCCTAGTTTTTAGTTGTGTGGTATATAAACACCCCTGTTGTCCCATTCAGTATCTCCAATATTTCACCGTTTTCTAGTATTGGCTGGGGCTCGGCCGGTGGTGATGTGCATCTGCACGTGAACATGTGTTTTGAGTCAGGGACATGCTAGGTAATTAGGGCAGACTTGAATTCACTCTGTAGGCCAGGATGGCCTCAAACTCATGATCTTCCCCTTTTAAGCCTCATCACCAGGCTCAGCGCACTGCTATTTTGCCTAGTACATATTTCGCTATTATTAGTCGAATGGAAAAATGGTAATTTCGAGATTTGTAATCACTGAGAAAGGCAGTTTAATCCAGTGCTTCTTAAACTTTAGGATGCGCAAGAGTCAACAAGAAAGTCTCCATCACAGGGCACTCTATTCAGGCTGCATGGTCTGAGCTAGAGCCTAAGAATTCACAATGCTAATTAGGAGACACTAATCTTCCTAGTCTGGGATAGTCACACTATCAATAGACTGGTTCAGCCTAATTCACTGTAGCACTCACCCATTCCTTCCTTCCTTCTTTTTTTTCAAAAACTCACTTTTTCATATTTTAGGATTATCTTTGTGTTAGGCACTCAATTTTATAATTAGATTTGAAAGGTTTTAAACTCCTAGTGTATCTGTTTTAACAGTTACAAAAGTTATTAAAACAGTGAATTCCTCATAGTTGGGCCCTTAAATGTGCTCTACCAGTTAGTCCACTGGAGTACACATTCAAATAAGTTTTTGAAGACAAAGAGAGAGTATGTATGTGCGTCCTTGCTTTTTTCTTTATACATGAAACACACTTTATCCAGATATAAAGTTCTTCTATTAAAACATTTCTGTTTTGCAACACATCTATTTTCTTCTAGCATTTAGAATCGTGGAACATCTAAGGAAGTCCATCTTGCATTCATCTTGTAGAGACTTGATTTTTTTTGTATCTGGATAGTACTTCACGTTAGCTTAAAAAAATCACTTACAATCTACTCAGGTAAGGATTTCTTTAAATTGACTCTAATTGACAAGTGATGAGCATTTCAAATTTGCACATAGGTTCTCTGCTTTCTGAACAAGTTTCCAGAATTCTAGTAGATCTTGGAATACCGCTTCAGTCCCATGGTACTAAAATCACCTATTACCTGGAACTGGTTTCTTGTTGCATTTATCACTGAATTTCTGTATGTTGTCCTTTCCCTCACCAATTCCATTTCTGCAGACTGATTGTTGTTTACTATCTACACTGTAGCTTTAAATTCTGTTCTTATATTTTCTGCTTCCCTGAAGTCTTCCACAGCTGTTCTCTCTTCGGTGTTTTAACTTAGCTCGCTGCTTTTTCACCTTACAGCTTCAAGCTTGTGTTTCACAGGGTCATGCCATGAACTGAACTGAGTTCTCCATGTGATGGGATTTAGGGGCTGGGCTTCCTGGAGATGGGTGATGAGAGTGGGGCCCACGATTGGATTAGCACCTTAGAAGAAATACCTTTTCTTGATAGCTCTTTCCTCTCCTTTTCTTCTCTCTCTTCCCCTTTTTCTTCTCTGCCTCTCTCCCCTCCTCCCACTACCTCTCTCAGTCAGAGAGGTCAGAAAGCAAAACTTCCCAGAAGCACCCTGACCTTGGAATGTCAGCCTCCGGAACTATAAGGAATTTTACCAAGGCTCTTCTCTTTGGTTGTAGCAGCCCAAGTTGACTACAGTCATATTTTCTGATACTTCACTGATGTTATAAAAATTTTTTCTCATCTAGAGTATATCACTTTCAGAGATGTGCTCTTCCTTGGAGTCTCCTAAATTTTCTTTTTTGTTATGTGGAATTTTCATAGTTTCCATGTTTATTTTTCAAGTTTATTTTTCTTCTTCATCCAGGCAAAAAAATCAGGTAAGTCATATATGAATAATCCAGCTTTACCATTCCAATAGACCACAGAGGAACTGTTGTCCGTTTTCCCTCGAAGCATGGTGGTCATTCTCAGATCTGCTGCTGAAGGTCGAGTGTCACCCAACCAGCTCTGTCCTTCTAGTGGGTGTCTTTTGCTTTCCTACAGCTCTGGCTTCTTCCTCCCTAACTTTAATTGGCTTAGCTGATGCCAAGTGGAAGAGATTTCCCCCTTTCCCTGATCTACACAGTTTTACTTGGAGTGACCAGCTCGTTCAGAATACCTGGTGACTCTACTGGCTCCCCTTGTTCTATACCTAGTTGTTTTTAGTGTGTGGCGGCTCTGGCCTGCTCACAGGAAGCAGCAGCAACTCAAGAAGCAACAGCTTCATCTCCCAAGACAGCTGCTGAGTGGTAGCTGGCTTTCCGTAACTCCAGCAAGCTCAGTTCCATGATAGCAAGCTAGGAACAGTCCGGCTTTTCTCAGTAAAAATGCACAACCCTTATCATCTGTGAAAATACCTGCAGGACCTAGCATGGGTTGGCTATCAGACTGAGTTACAGACACACAGAACAAGTTTCATCTTGCTCTGAATCTTCATGGGTGGTTAACAGGTCCCACTCATTTAATGCTTTCCAAGCATGTGTCAAGGACTATGCTAATTCCCTTACAAACATAATCGTACATAATCCCCATGACAAGCTTGAAAGTGGAGTCTTATTGTCATCACCCCACTTTAGAGGTAAACTGGATTAGACAGATTAGAAAACTTGTGGGGCTTCATGCAGCTATCAAGTGGAGAGTGGGACTCATGTCTGGGCCGGTTCCAAATTCCTCCCTGACATCTCTCAGTAACATCCCGCTTCTCACACCCTGACTACCACGTGCTGAGCCAGACACTTCACTTTCTTGCTGCTGTTTTTAGTCATACTGGGGATTGAAAGCAGGTCCTCACACACAACAGTCAAGCACTTGACCTCTGAGCTACATCCCCAGCCCTGGGCCAGACACTTTATGAATGTATTTTCCAAAAGCCCTGGAAAACTGACTCCAGGGACATTCAGAAGAAGCAAACAGCCAATAGCCTGGCGATGCCAACAATCACACTGAGGCCTATTTCATTCTGAAGCCTAGCTTCATAATGGCAGAGCTTTGTAAAAAATGCAGGGCCCCTCTGGAAGACAGTGGACAAACGGATGGTAGGAGATGGTGCATCCTAGCTGTGTCCTGTATCTGAACAAGAATGTCTGGCTCTTCCCCCAGACTATGAATTCCTCAAATGCTACAAACCTGTCTGATTCCCAATTGTGTTTCCCCTGCTAACACCCAGCAGTTTGGATGTTTATTTCACCACCATCTTCATCTGTAAGGTGGTTTTCATGCTTCTATTTAGGGAGCATTCACTATGCTCTTGACATGCACTATGCTATTTACTTTGATGACATTATCTTCTCCGCAGTTTCCAGAACACTTTAGAAAGTGTTAAGAAGAAAGCCAAGGGACTGGGAATATAGCTGAATGGCATAAACACCCACCTGGCAAGTGCAAGGTCCTGAGTTTACAAATAAATAAATAAAGCAAGCCAAGGCCCATCCTCTGGCTATGACAAGCTAGGAAGAAGAGATGACTTCAGGAAACCCATCCAATATCTTTCCTGTACCAAAACTTCTCTCTTTGGGGTACAGTTGACTACACTGTTGTAATGACTTTGATTTTCCTTCACCCAGACTTCTTCATCTCCTTTTTGTGTATATTTCTGCAAATAATCTTAGTTCTTTGTTGTAATGCAACAGATACAAGAAAGGTCTCTTCTTGGGTAGGAAGCGATGAATAAGCCGTAACTTCCCAAAGAGTTGGGAGAAGGAACCTCCCACACTTGTGGTCTCACCACACCTACCCCAGGCCTAACCACCTGATCTCTTCCAACTCAGCCTCCTCCCAGTGCTCAAACTGGTTGTTACGGCACCTATCAAAAATGTCCCCTAAAAGTTTCCTGTGTTCAGAGATGGGGCTTTTGGCAGGTCATTGGTCACGGAGGTTCTGTAATCCGCTGATGAGTTCAGGGCTGAATGTGCTGGCAGGAGATGAGGCCTGGTTGAAGGTGGACCACTGGGTCGGGAGCTGGAAGGGTATATTCTTCTCCACAGTTCTTCCCTTCTCTCTTTCGGCTTCCTGGCTGCCAAAGTTTAGGAGCTTTCCTCTGCTGTGCCATTTCTGCCTGATAGCTAGCCAATCATAATCTAAATCCTCTGAAAACCACGAGAGACAATAAAGCCTTCCTTGTTTAAATTGCAGGTACCAGATATTCTGTCCCAGCAAATGGAGAGTGACTAATACACTGGTCTCCTAAACTGCAAACTCCATCAAGTCCTTTCCCCATTTGGTAAACTCTAGTCTATTCTCAAGAAGACAGAGTCCAGATGCCTCATCCTGGGATTTCAAACTCCCAGATTCTAGGACTTTCTCAAACACAGCACTTCTCCAGCTTCTGTGGGTGTGGAGCAAGGGCTACTCTCATGCCCACTCTGGGAGCTTCCTGGGTGCCCAAGACTGGACTTCTCCAGATTGTCATTCCCACTCACTTACCATACTGTCCCCTACCCAACCTCTCCGTAAATTACTCCAGGGCAGGGGCACATCTGTCCTGTTCACTGCTGTGTTCCAGCAACACTCAAAACAAGTCTGCAGAAAACAAGTGAGTCACAGGCATGGCTCTTGCCCTCAAGGAGATGTGCTGTGGCAAAGACAAAGCATTTACACGCAGCCATTCAGCACAGCTCTGTCCTCTCCAATGCCCCTCGAGATGACCTGCCAAGCGTCTAAATGCTAAGAAGCATTTGCCTCTATGACCTCACTTAATCCCCCACCAAACCTCCAGGGAGGGTCGTCCTCTCCGGGTGGTAGTCAGGGTGAGGCTCAGGATGGCTCATAGACTTCAAGGACGCCATGAAGCACAGCAAGCCTACTACCTGAGCCCTCCCCTGACCCTGTATTGTCCACGGCTCCTTAAACCAATATTCTGAGACTACTCAGCCCAACTGACAGGTGGTTGCCACCACTGCAGGTGGGAGACGCCACCCCCTCTGCCAGCACTGGGACTGAGCTCTGCCTCCCTTAGCTGGTCCCCACCCAGCCCTCTGCCCAGGAAGCACTGCATACTTGGACCAATTTTCTGGAAAGGTTCCGGGGGCTCTTCCTTCACCTCATCAGTGGCCACAACACCTTGATCGAAGGGGTCTGGAGGAGAACACACAGCATTAGCACCTTGGTCACTTGGGTCTCCAGATCCTCCCCGGGAACAAGGAAGATGAGTGACTACCGAAGACTTACCTGCTCGATTCTCGGGGGCCCCTTCCACACTGAACACTGCATCCAGGTGGGAGGTGGCAGCCGCAGAGGGAAGGAAGCAAACAGGAGCCCGGTTAGTCCCTGGCCGTCACTGCCCCTTGGCTGTTGCTCCCAACCTGTGTGCCAGCAAGTTTGCCCCTGAAGCTGGGAGGGCTGCCTTGGCCAGGGTGGAAGCCCAGAATGAGCACATCTGCACCAGATGCAGCCGACAGCTCAACTTCTCCTGCCCATGGGCAGCCGCCTCCCCCAGGGCAGACAGACACCCTCTCCCTGCACCTTTTGTGGACCTCAGCACGCACTCCAGGGGCATGGCAGGAGTAAGGGGCTGGGAGAAGAGGTCAGAGGGATGAGCCAGCGGCCATGGGTGGTGGGCTCAGGTGCCCTGGCCTGAGATGGGCTGGGGTGTGGGACTAGAGAGGGATCCCCCAAGTCCTCTCTGGGTCCAAGACCCTCTTTCTAGGATTCTTAAAGCTCCACAAATGAATTGCCTAAATTTATCGTTCTAATTTCTAGCTCTATAATCGAATGCTGAAACGCCATTACTCATTTTAAAAAATTGGTTTAATTTCACTACAGCATGCAAATACCCAATATAAAACTATAAAATGACATGATACAAAATTCAGTACTCAACTGATTTTGACCTATACAAATGGCAACTTTACCTGGAGTACCCTAAATAGAAACACACTGTGGGTAACCATGAGGGCATCCCCCCCCCACCCCCGCAGAATCCTCATGTTTCTGGCTGCTGCTGACCTTTCTCTGGCTAAAAGGAGGGCGGGCTGGGGATGGGTCCCCAAGGAAAGGCATCTCTCTGTAGGACGCAAGCAGCATGGGGCCTGACTCACCATCCACAGCGTGCAGGTCCCGGTGCTCTTGGAAACAGCTGTAATACTTGTACTTCTTCCCACAGATGTCACATGTGTACCTGAAGTTGTCTGCGAGGGAGGGAAAGCCACATGTGCCACAATGCTTCTGTCACTGCGAGTGGGGATTTCTGGCCAATGCATCTGCCTGAGGCACCAAAGCTGGTACCAGCCCAGTCTGGCAGGAGCTGGATGGCCCTTCTTTTCTGGGGTCTGTGCACTTTGTTTCTGTCTGGGACATTTCACTCTCCCTCCTTCTCCTGCTTCTCAGCACTCAACACAGGAACTGACGAGACTGCCTATCCCAAGGCTGCTTTGCCCAGTGGTGCTGTGGGAGGGTTTCTGGCCCCTCAGGTAAATATAGGGCATAGATGACATGAACCACCTCCCCTCCCATCTTTGCCCTCTCCCTCAGGCACACTGGTCCCTAAGCAAGGAGCCTGCAGCATTCGAATTTGTAGATGTTCTGAAGACGGTGGGCATCAGAATCCTCCAAGGGGAAGCCAGTGAGTTGTGGGACATCAGAGGCCTGGTCCTGCTTCCTCATTTATCCCCTAATTTGAGATGGAGGAAAGACCACAGACAAGCTGATTCCCAAGGCCTCTTCCAGGCTAGTGTTCCCAGGACTCCAAGCTGGCTCAGGTTTTGACCCTCTCTGATGGCTGGCAGTCAGCTTAGACACCCCCAACTGCAATGCCCCTTGCAGACCCTATCCCAGCATCTCCCCTTGTTCCACTCTCACTGGGGAACAGAGTTGGAGAGATCCACGGGATCTGGTTCCAGATGGGGCTGCACATCTGAGATTCCTCTCTCACACTGACCACTGCTACCCCACAGCTGTTCTATAGTGGGCCAAACCCTTTCCCACCAGTAAGACAGAGACCCTAACTTTCTGCTGCTGAGAAGAGCCCCAACTGCCCCATCAAATCTCATACCATAATGTTTTCTCAGTGTGGATGGGGACCATGCTCCCTACTCCTAATAGAGCAGGGATGATGGCAAGAGAGTCATCCCCAAAGGAGGAGGCAAAAGGAGTTTTTACCAGTGGCACTACCCAAGGAGTTTTCAGAATCCCTAGGAGCCTGTGTCTCAGGAAAGCCTCTGCAAACTCCTTTTGGTGAGTGGGCTCTAGAGTGCAGCTGCCTAAGCTAAAAATCCTGCTCTATCACTTAGTAGTGTGATGGACTTTTGGCATATTGTTTAACTCCTGTGCCTCCACTGTGTCATCTGTAAGATGGGAAAAATGATAGTTTCTTATCTCCCACAGTTGTAGTAAAGAATGCACTTTATAAATTACAAACTAGTAAGAGCTATAATAAGGAATAAATAAAGGACTGAGGCTGGCTCAGTGGTAGAGCATTTGCCTAGCATGTGGAAGGCCCTGGGTTCAATCTCCCAAAGAAACAGAGACAAAATAAAAAGCACAATGCTAACATCTGGTATACACTTGGTAAATGTCCTGTGAAGAGAACCAGTGTGACACAACGAACTGCATCTGGACCTCATCCTTTATCCTCTCCATTCAGAGATGGCTGAATGGTATATCTTCACGTCTCTATCTATGATTGGACTATTTTCCTAATAAATAAACAAAAAGCCCCTGGACTAGAGTGTGTGACATCTATCTCCTCTACTGCTAACAAGTGGCACGATTCTGTCCTCTGGGACTCAGTGTCCTCATCTGCGAAGTGGCAGGCTAGACATGATGCCCTTCATAGGACCCTTCTGGCTCCAAGACTGCACTGCCAGGCTCCCTGGAGAAGGGAGGCTTGAGGGTTTGCCAGGTGTTCCAACAACACCAGTTGCCCGGGCCAAGGTTCGAGACTGAGAAGTCAGCGGAGCATGCTACGAACAAGAAGTGTGTGACACAGGAGGAAGGAGGTGAAGGGAAGCCTAAAGATACTGCCAGCCACACAAAGCCCAACCCCCAGTTAGCTTGTATACAATGGAAGCCAGACAGAACATAGCGGCTCATGGAGAGGTTCCAGGAAAGGCCAGAGGCCCAGAATAGTCAGGAAAGGGGCAGTAATGTGGAAGGTTTTAAATGTGTATCTGAACACAGGTGGACCATGGGAGTAGGAGAAGAAGGAAACTATTGAGGGGGACGGGAGTCAGGACTAGGCTGGGATGAGGAGGAGCTGGGGAGGCACAGGCTTCCGCCTCCTCCCAGTCAGAGGCCCTGGCGCAGGTGTCTGCCACCCTGACACAGAGAATGCAGGGACTGTTCCAGAAGAAACACAAACTGGGTCCAGCCCTGTAAGGCTCCTTCTCCAGGCCTGAGTACCTCAGAACCCTCTGTCCTGGTCTGATTTGTTCTCGGTAATGTTTACAAATTACCATAAAAACATGCTTCTGGTGGGACATTAGACCTGAGGAAGAGGGCTGGCCACACAGCAGTCCCTGGGCCAGATCCAGCTGCACACTGTTCCTGGCAAAACCCCTCATACAAGGGCAGGGCTCAGTGCCCGTGACAAAGAAGTCAGGCACCTCAGGTCTAAGCTAATGCCCACCTGGCCCTCTGCACAAAGCAGCTGCTGACTCCTGGCACAGGATGGTGTGCGCAGGATGTAAGCAGACAGCACAGTCAGGGTTGGCAAGGGGAAAAGCCTCTGGAAACCCGCCGGGCTCACGCAGCCATGGCATGGGCCCCTCCTGCACAGCCCCCCTTCTGATGCCCACCAGGCCCCCTTCACAGGTGTCTGTACTTTCTGCAAGGTTTTTGAGGATGACTGTTTGATGTCTGGCGAGTCCGGCTCCAGGATACACTTGTGAGAATGACCCTTGTTGTGGAGCTCACACTCACTGCTCTACTCAATTAGCACAGAAGCTCCTAGCACCAGTGCACTAAGCACATTCTAGTTCTTTCTCATGGCCGACGTGTGCAGCAGTCTCTGCTGGACACCCACCTACGGGCAGAACCGCTGGCTTGGGGAGCTCAGTGTTGGGGAGGCAGAGGTTCCAAGTGGTCTACACCTGCCTGGTTACCAGCCCTTTGAGGTATGGGGCTGGCAGGGCTTGTGAGCAGCTACCCCTAGATGTCAAGGCCCCACACGGTGCCCTGGGGCACAGCACCAACAAGCAATGGTGTCTCCCACATGTGCTTATGAGGTAACTCTCCGAAGCAGCATTTCTCCAGTCAGTGACAAACCCTAGACCCATGAGTCACTGTCAAAGAACACAGGAAGCTCTGCACAGGCTAGGCTCCCGGAGATGCTGGGATGCCTGCTCTTTCAAGTAGGAGTTCAGGTTTCTCAAAGCTATTTGCCCAGAGACCTCTTTGTTGGAAGAACACCTATCAACCCCCACAGAATGAGTGGGCTATGGACCCACTTTGGGACAGGCTGCTTTGTGTTCTGATTTCCTAAGGACCCTCTAGCCCCCAGGCTTGGATCCCAGAGGCCACTTGGGGCTCTCTTGGGGAGGTAGCTCCTCTTCTGTCCATCCTCAGCTCTTGGCCCCCACCAACCCACGGAGGGGGAAAAATACTCACTGCTTTGGGAGGCTCCCTCCCCTGAGGTGGCTTCGGTGTCTGTGAGAGAGAGAGAGAGGAAGGAGGAGGTAAGCCATGTGATGGGGACAACAGCAGGGCTGGTGCCACTGGAGAGAGAGTGAGTGACAAACAAGGGACAAAGTCTCAGTCCTTCCCCAGCCCTGACATCAGCCTGAGCTGTCCCTGTGTCCCCCCGACTTCAGAATGGGAAGCAGCTGGTCCCACTTCTGAGCTGTCGTGAGGAGCACACAAGTAGATACGAACTCATGGCCTATGGGTGTCTGATGGAGTCGCACTGGGCATCCTGGGGTCCTCAAGGCAGAAGCTGTGTCCTCTGCTGCAGGCTCCACTGCTGCCCTGCACAAGGAGGCCTCCCCTCCTTGGAGGGCACAGGTGCTCTCTAGGCCTCTGGGGATACCAGTGAGGGGCTCAAGTGAGAAAACAGGCAGAAAATGGGAGGTGCAGCTCCAGGAACAACCCACTCACCGCGGTGTGCCCGTACGTGGGTCTGGAAACAGTTGTAATACTTGTACTTCTTCCCACAGATCCCACATTCATAGGACCCTGGAAAAGACAAGAGGAGAGGAGCAGTCAGCCAACATCTATGACCACTGACTCCAGGACCCACAGGTACAGCGCCAGATGCTGCTAACTCTGTGTCATAGGGCAGAGACGTCCCCAGCAAGCGGAGAGGGAACACGGCCCAGCCACAGGGCCTAATGTCTACACACAGGTTCGCCTCCAATGTCTGCATGGCCTTGGGCAAGGTGCCCCCCATTTCTGAGCCTCAGCCCCCATATCTGGAAGATGGAAAAGGTAACTTCAGCTGTCAGCTCTTTTACTCACACTCCAAGAGGAGAGAAGAGACGAAGAATACAAAAGTGGTAGGAGCAACTGCACCCACACAAAGAAATCACTCCGTCACCGCATTAGAGGAATTTCCAGCTGGCCTTTCTCAGCACAGGACCAAGCGTCAGATGCGCTCTGGTCCTCGTCTGCATTTTGCTGCTTGCCAGTATGCCAGCAGTTCAGTCTTAGTAACTTTCTCAGATACCTCAGCCTGCTTATCTATGGAATGGGCCCTCCAGGGGTAGCCCTTCCCAGCCTTTAGGAAGTGTCCAGCCTACTCCTAATTCACTCAGCAAGGAGAGGACTCAGCCCTGCTCCCTCAGACATTCAGACACCGATACCATGGAAACACCTAACCTCTGTCCTGCTGGCCTCTTCCCAGGAGCAGGCAGACTGGAACTGCTGTTGACTTCCCAGGTGAAGAGGGCCACACCATGCAGTCTGGACAAAGGCACATGGCGGGAAGCAAGGCAGAGCTTATGGGACCTAGCCAGGCAAGGACCCCAGGAGCTGAGGCTGTGCTCATCACCGCCCATCAGGGTCCTCGGGCAGGCCTGATACTCTCTGGGCCTTGGCCCAGCTCTTCCAAGCGGAATGTCCAGGGAGTGTACACAAGCACAGAGGCCCTGGACGTGGACAAGGCTGGGTGCTCGAGTGGTTGGGGACGGAGCCTAGGCATCTATCTTTTCCACAAGCCCCAGGGTATTCTGGGATATAGGAACTGCTCGTTTAGAATGATCCTTGGGCTGCTACTCCACCGTGCCTCAGTTTCCTCATTGGAAAACTGTGGCTATGCAAGCGGGCGGATGCACAGACTGCATAGGTATGAACAATGTTCCCAGCAAGGCCTGGCAGCGGACTACCCGCGGACTGGCAGCGATCACCGGCTGTGATTCCCTTTGACTGTGCCTTTAGCCGGGTGTAGACCCAGGTGTTAGAACAGCGCTGGGCATGGACAATGTCAGCTCATCTCTGCTACCCCTTCCTGTGTGACCTCAGATACATCCCTTTTCCTGTCCAAGCCTGTCTGCTCACTTGCCAACAAGTCTGAGTCCTGCTCCTCATGAGTGAGGTCAGGGCCAACAACATGTGGGCTGACTGGCACACAGGAGGCACTGAGGGAGGGTGGTCCGTACCAGTGCTGCTCCCGGATGTCACTCCAGGGGACACTGTCATCCTAACATGCATGTGAAATTTAATGTCTGTTATTTACGGGTTGTACATGTGTTACCCCTGCCACACAGGGAAAATACAGCCACATGGAGGGCAAAGATCACGCTGCATATTTCTTTGTGTTTAGCCCTGTGATTGGCACACTAAGAGGGCTCAATAAATTCATGGTGTCGCGCTGTTATACTCATCTGTCACCGAGTAATAATGACTCTGACTCTTCCGGCAGCCTCCACCCACTCTTCAGCAGTTTCTGCCAATTCCCCTTCAACCAGCCAAGGATTTATTGAGCATCTGCAACAGACCAGGCACTGAGGCTCCAACAATAAGCCAGATCCCCTCCCTGCCCTCCAACTAATGGGAAGCAGACAGGCCGCAAGGCTGGGGAACAACACGGGGTGATGGCCTGTGACAGCCAGAGCAGGACCTGAGGCATCTCCGTTGCAGTGAGGGGCTGAAGTCCGCGGAGTTCCCACTGTTTATAACCAAGCCAAGTTCTTCCTTGGCTTTATGGGATCCACACCCGAGTCCCAACCTGTAGAACAAGACATAGGACCCCAGGAGCCTTGGTAAGGGCCTCAGAAAGTCCTGGAGGATCCTCAGACTTTGGCTGTCCCAGACACAGTGAAGACCAAGCAGATGACTGGCAGGAGGGACATTTCAGCCTACCCCTCACTCACCCTAAGTGTCCACACTAGGGAGGTGGAAGGTGAGTCCCCAGAAGAGTTCATCAGAGTGGTTGCCCTACCATCCAGCAATGCCGGACAACCTGAGCTCAAATGCTGACCAGCCATGGAGCAGACAAGGAAGCCCTCACCAAGTCACAGGTTTATCCATATCTCATGATACATCCCTTAACAAAACTGCCCATGGTGGGTGTGCAGGGGACGATAACACACATAGTGTATTATTAGCACAGTGCTTGGTACACAGAAGACATTCAACAGATGATAGCTGTTGTCATCATGGTCACACCCCAAGGTTTTTCTTTAGAACTCAACTTTCTGGATGCATGCCAGGAAAAGAGAACTATGGCCAGGTGAGTGTGAGGAAGATTTCCTGATGTGGCTCTGTCCGGGGAAGGCACAAGGCAGGCGCTTCCGAGGATCCTGCTGTGAAGGAAGCCACTACCATCAAACCTGAGAACTCAAACATGTAGCACGGGACCCTCTTGTCTCTTGGCTTGAGTCACAATCATGGTCCCCAGGAAGTGCTGTTGAAATGGCCCAGCAATTTAGATGCCAGCCGTCCAAATGTTGTCATTTCTCTAGCAGCCACACCCTCCTAGGGCCCAGGGAGGCTCAGAGTTGCTCACACCAGGTGGTATGGGGTGCTGGGGAAGGTGGCCTCTTTGGGACCCTGAGATAGTAGTGGGGCCTGTGTAGCTACGGCTGTGTTCAGCCCTACCCCACCCCATGCTGACCCACATCAGGCCCTGTCCCTCGGCCATCACGTACCAGATGCATATCTCAATGCTTGGTCAAAAATCCAGGTCCCTGAATACCGGCTTCGCACAGATCCACCGTGAGGGCTGCTTTCGGGCGCTTTTCCATCTGAATCACGTGAGAAATCAGAAAGAGCCCTTAACATTGGAGAATGCCTGGGAGTTGGGGAGAGAGGCAAACGCAGCTGGGGGCTGACTATGCTTAGCCAGTCACCTGCATGGTCAGAGCCTCAGTCTCCCCAACTGCATGCTGGAAGGGTGGGTAGGACCACACTGTATAGCTCCTCATTCAAGAACTTGTGCTGGCCAGGGGCACCCACTTTTCCCCAGGGAGTGTAGAAAGCTGAGGCAGACCACGTTTTATGTTTTCTCTTTACCTTGCTTCATCGCATGGTTAGAACATAAAAGCTCTCCCCAGAAACCTTCCAATAAAATGACCCCCAAAAAGATGTGTACCACATGTGCTATGGTGTGTCCCCCTGACCCATAGCCACTGTTGGCACATGTGCACCAGAGGATCTTTTTGGGGTCTTTCAGCTCACTATTCTAATGCAGAACCCTGGCCCTGCATGCTTGCTTGTCCTCTGGCTTGCCATTTGCTTGTTCTTCCTACATGAACCTCAGCAATCACTATCACCACCTGCCTGCTAAATGCCAAGCGTGCCAGGTGCTGTGGCCATGTCACCTGCAACATTTCTGTACATAATTGGTCTCTGACCCCACGGCCCAGGTGAGGGAACAGAGGTCAAGCAGCACCTTGCCCAGTGCCCACAGGTGTGGGACCCCAGCTCTGGGGCTTCTCACATCAGTTCAGTTCACTGTTACAACTTCAGCAGGGCACCAAGATTATTAGCCGCATTTTCCACAGGTGCGAGGTAAGATCTGAAGTGGCCACACTTCCGGCCACAGGTTGCCCAGAGCTGCCCTGTTCCAGAGCCCATGTGTGCAAGCATCATCACCTTTGCTGGGGCAGCAAAGATGGTGCTTGTGAGCAGTTAGCACTGATAGAGTGCATCCACGCTTCTTCTCTGCCCCATTTCTCCACAAGTCCTCCTGAGGTTAGTACGACCCAACCTCCATTTCACAAGACAGCATATAGTTCTAGAAGCATCAGGGCTGGGTTCGGCAGCTAGTACCTCAATGCCAGCTCCCCTACTGCAGGGCAGAAATCTCCTGCCAAGTCTGACATGACCACAGAACTCCTAAGAGTTCTATACCTATCAAGTACCCTGAGCACAGCTGGTGGGGACAGCAGCTGGCAGGGTTCACCAGCATCCTGGAGTCCAGCCTTCCCTCCTGGTTCCCATCATCACTTGTGCTAGAAGAACCCACAAGACAAATCCTTGTTAATAGCTCTCGCCTGCATGTCACAGCACCTGGCAGAGGGCTTGGCACAGCTTCCCAGGGAGAAGACTGAGGAGGCCAGCATGGAGGGGGAGTCATCTGAGGACAGGGAAGATAAGGGTCACCTCTCAGTTCCTATCACATATACCCAGAAAGCTCCAGTGAAGCCAAAATATCTTTTAGAATACACAAAATACAAGAAGAGAGAAATGCAGAGCAGGTGAATGAAAGAAGATCACAGTTCAAATACTCAAGAGTGCAGTGTCCAGTTCTCCTGGTTCCAGACATGATGTGAGCCAGGCCAGAGCTTGCCAAGGACAGTGGACTTGGAGAGGGGGCTGCCTGTGGCTCCCTGGGGCTTGGCCTCAGGTCCAATGCCTTGCGCAGCAGGGTCACCAAGCAGGCAGTGACGCTCTGGGTATTATGGAGGGGCTCGCTCACTGCTGCGCTTCCCTCCTGCTTCTTTCTTTGCCCTTCTCTCACTCTCTCTTTCACCTATTCTAATCTTACCACCTTGCTTTCCGCAGAGGAGGAGGTTCAAACCAGGGCCAGGTTCAAAAAGTGACAGTCTCACAACTGAGGACAATTCTTTTTCTGAATCTAAGGATTTTCAATTCTCGGCTTGCAACCAAGATAAAGAAGGATCTAATGAAGTTGTTAGTGGAGAAACCATTAAAAATACTGTCTGATTATGGACCTGGCGTGATTTTTGGCATACATTTTGGCAGGAATTCAAAGAACAGAGTGACACATTGACACAAACCCCATCATCGCCAGCTCCTTATTATGAGCTCAAGCTTCCTACATGCTTACTCCCGTGAACACAGAAAACTAAGAATAAAATGAAGGCCGAGTCTTGTCTCGTTCTAGCAATAAGAAATATTAATTCACAGACACATGACTCAATTGAGAGAGAAATAAAGCCATATCCATTTCATTAAGAAATGCATTTTCAACAATTTTTTATATTTTACATTTACTATTTATCTAAATTTATTTCTGACAAATTGCATGCTAATAACTCAATCTGGAAAAATAAAAAAAAAAGGTTTTAAAATGTAGAGCTTTATGATCCTAGGATTTTCCCCCCCAGAAATTTCTATTTCAATTTATGTACCTCTTGTTGTGGCGAATGAGTATGAAACAGTGATCAATAAAAGACTTTCAAGCATAAAAAATATATTACATTAGGATAAAACCCTGTGGGGGAAGTGGAGTGGAAATATGAGTTCAAGGAGAAAAAGGAAAGACATAAAATTTCTGACTGCTAAAGATGAGCTTGTTCATATGTTTTTTAAGTGACAATGGCGGATATCAAATAGTAGGGGTATTTGGATTCCCTTGGATCCATTTAGCAAGAGTGGTTCACAGCTTTATTTCCACTGTCACCTTTTTTTTTTTTTTTTTTTTAGAAAATACAATATTACAGAAATCATATCCTCTGCAGTTACTCAAACTGGATAAAATGTTAAATGTCAACTTAAAAATGCGAAAGAGAATATACTATTTCTCAAATTTCTTTTAGGAAGTATTGAACAAAAGGGTGTGACACATTGGCTTTTTAGGTTTCTATCTCACCCAAGGTTACCCAAGAGATAGCTATGTCCTGAGGCTGCAGCCAATACCAGCATCTGATTTGTGTCTTTATTCCTCCCTTAATAACCCCTTTATACCTGTTATCTAAGAAGAGCAGACTTCATTATACCCATAACCATTCAAGACACTGTAGCTCAGAGAGCCTAGGGGTTCATCCAGGCCCCATGGCAGGGTACCCCAGCCCTCCTGAAGTACAGCTCAGGAACCTGTCCTCACAGGGCTCCTCCAACAGGATTCCCTGTTCCCTTCACACCATCAGATGCAGAATCCACAGCAAAGACAAGCAGGCCGGGAGTGAGGCCAGCACCACTCCTTTCCATGTGGCCGCAGCGAAGAGCTGGGTGTTGGTTCTGGCAGTCTCGGGCACAAAGCTCTGCCAACAACCCATCGAAACAGGAAACTAACTATCAGCTGGCACTAGCAAGCAGGACCTGGCACCTTTGCTGCCTTGGTTTGTCACAGGCCCAAACCCACGTAGCTGTGTCTGAGTGGCTGTCAAGCTCTTCTGTTGCTCTTTCCAGAGCCATAGCCAAGCTGCCCTCCTGGCTGGGGCCTTTGCTTCACCTTTTCCCTTCTCCCTCCCTGGGCAACCCTACATATGTGAAAACACCTCCTTCCCTGGGTGCTCGAGGCTCCCTGCCAGGACTGCCTTGCAGAATCCAGTCTCCCATCTGATCCTTGACTCCCCATCCAACGATCCTCTCTGCTCACCCATGTCTGAGAAGGGGAACTCACTCCACAGACCGGCATTCAATTACCAAACAGTTCCCAGCCATCAACTCCACCCTTGCACTAAAATCACCTCCTGATGACCTCTCCATATTGACTGGGGCTACCACGAATGTGTCTGTTTCATTGTTCCCCCAAATGCAGTAAGTTAAGAATATTTACATTCTATTACCCACCCCTTGCCTCCCCACTGTCCCAGCCTCCTCTTCCCCAAGACAAACAGTCCTTGTCTCTTCCACAGGGCTCTTTCGGACACTGAGGTAGGTAATCCTCTGACAATAACCTGGATGGTCTACATCCTCCATAAGAGGTAGTGCCACTCGGCCCCTCCACAGTTCTGAATCACCACCAGGAAACTTGGCACACTGAGGTCTCCATAGAACCGAGGCCCTCTCGGGACTCTTCCTCTGGACCCTCCGTGGGATTAAGGACCACTGGTCCCACAGCACAGAGAACAGCAGACACTGCTGGGTGGTACACTCAGACCACCGTGATGGGTTCCAGGTATCCCCTTAGCTCTTAGAACCACAAAACGGCCCATGAGCTGGATGTCCTGACTGCCACAAGCCCAACTGCCTTGTTATTAACTAGGGCAGGCATCCCCATCCCCAACCCCTGGGACACAGACCAACACCAGTCTATCAGGAACCAGGATGCACAGAAGGAGGTAAGTGGTGGGCTAAGGACACAGTTTCACCTGCATTTTTAGGCAACCCGCAATGTTCCTATTACTGCCTGAGCACTGCCTCCTGTCGGATCAGCTGCAGCATTAGATTCATATGGGGGCAGGGGCTATACTGTGAACTGCGCATGTGAGGATTTAGGTTATACACTCCTTAGGAGAATCTAATGCAATAATAATAGAAACAGAGTGCACAATAAATGTAACATGCTCAAATCATCCTGAACCCATCTTCCCTTTAACCCATCCATAGGAAAACTCTTCTAAGAACTAGGTCCCTGGTGCCAAAAGGTTGGGAACTGCTGATATACGATAAGAATGGCGAGCAGCTTTTTGTGGCCAGGGAGCAATGCCTGCCATGAACACAGATAGCGGTGATGGCTGTACACAGGGATGCGGCTTCTCAGGGGCACAGGCATGCAATACTTGCTTCTATTCAATGACAGTGGTTGTAAGAGTGAGAGATGCCCTTCTGGACACAAGGGCTTTTCTGGGCAGCAGGGCAGTAGCAGCAACTGATGCAAATTTGTCACCCAACCTCCCGGTACCAAGGCCTTTCTGACTCTCAGTCAAAGGAGTTGCCAAATGTCACGTGCCTATTCATGATCCGGACTGCTTGACAGGAGTTGCCTTGGATAATGTCTGTATCACTGGAAACACTGCTTGGTTATTAGTGGCCAGTCGGAACTTGGTGGGTCTCTCATGCAGCAGCACTGGGTGACTGAATGGATCACTACTCTACTCCACAACAAAGCCTGTCCCTGGGCCAAGAGCGTGGCTGGTTAAGCAGAGCAGAGCAGAGCATGCACACTCCCCATCCAATCCCTCAGGAACATGCCAACAGCCTGCATCCAGCCACCAGGACACAAAACATAGTGACATGAGCCTACCTAAAGACCGGGCTCTAGCCAGCTTCTCACCACAGCCAGGACCCCAGAACACTCTCTTTGCTTTACTTTTAGAAGTGACCATGAGGCAAGTGTTGGGAAATGAGTGGGTCCTTCACAACAAGGAAGAAAATGTCACCAACTTGCTATGTGACTGGGCAACTCTCCCTTTTCACAGGCCTTTGCTAGCCTCTCTATAACATGAGGGGGTCAGGGGTATCAATTGATACCATGTGTAGCCCACTACCTACCTCCACACCCAGGGCAGACATCAACAATCAATCATACTACTCTTCAAAATCTTCATCACAGAACTTCTAATAAAAATTGCTTGAACTTTACCCACAAGATGAAATCTACTTGCAGTCTGAACATGAGATGAGGGGTTCAAAAGGTGGATTCTCAGTTGATTTTGTTTTACTGCTTTCTTTGGTAGTGATGAGGCCAAGCCAGCTTCCCCTGAGCCTGACCCTCAGCAGAAACTATCCCTTTCAGCAGGAGAACCTGTTTTGGGATGCAAGCTAAGACTACGGTCAGCAGGGAATGAGTGATGACCACTGGGGCTTCTGCAGCCCTTTCCATAGGGGTGTGTGAACGGCAAGTAACTCAGACATTTCACAGGACACTTAAAGCCCCTGAGTTCTGGAGATGCAGCAGGGACATCTGGGACTTGTCCGGTGCTAACTTTCTTCCCCATCCCATTTTTTTTCTCTATATCACAGTGGCTTATTTCTTAGACTGGTGAGAAAAGGGATAAATGATTAGTACTCCTGCCCCTTAAAGAAGTTCTTCATGTCATGAATACTAGTACTACTGCTAATAATAGCTCATCCATTGTTCCCTATGCCCCATGCGGAACTCTCTGCATACATTACCTGATTACAGCCTCACATAACCCCATGAATTTGCAAGTAGAGCATTGAGGCACAGAGAGGACAAGCAGCTTGCCCAAGGGACCACACCCTTAAGGTCAGAGACCCTGGGTTCACTCTGAGTTGGAGAAGCTGAGCTCCTCCTGCAACACTGTTCTTCCTCGTGTCACTTCAGATTTCCACACCTGTGAATTGACCGAGACAGGGGCTATGCTGCTTTTAACAGAGGATGTCAAGGCACAGCAAGGTCAAGAACTCCGCTGCTGAGCGAGGAAACCAACACTGGGGGCTGGTACCAGCATCATGGGCCCTGGGGTTTTCACTGTGCAGCCCAGAAGCTCCCAACATTTCCTGGCCTGGCTGCTCAGGACTTTCCCTGTGAGATCCCTTTCGAGACTCAGATTCCACTGCCCTTTGCTAGGCAACTCCTGGTGAAAGACATAAAATAGCTACTGGGTCTAACGAGTCTTAACACCCACACTCCAACAGAGCAAGGGCATGCTTTCTCCTCCACTAATGAACAAATCTGCTAGTGGTGACACAATCTGAGGCCCCGGGGAGGGAATACTGAAGACAGAAATCAGGCACAGCCCCTGAAGAGACTATCCTCTTATTCAGCATTGGGTACATCTTTCTGGGTCACCTCCATGCTGCCATGAGGAAGGATGGTGGTTGCCAGTCTCCTTAAGGTTGGGCAGGGCCACATGACTAGTTCTGGCCAAGGGCTGTGAACAGAATTAACAGCTCTCCACTCTGGCTGCAGCAGTTAATCGCTGGCATGAGTCCACCCATTTGGCTGGCAGCAATCCACATAGTGGTTGCTTTTCATCTGGGTGCAAGACACATGAGAGACCAACGTAACTCACAATGGACATGTAGCGTGAATAAGAAATTTGGGATTTCAAGCTACAAGATCTCTTGTGACTTTCTTTGGAGATTTTTTATTATTACCTCATAACAACGTAGCCCCTTCCTGACGATTACAGTACCACTGCCTCACTGCTTCCCAGAAGCCAAAGACCTTGCTAGGAATTATTGACAGGGTAGGTATAGGGAATATGGAGAGAGATATAAGGCAGGTCCTGGAGCTCCAAGTACTAGGGGCTTCCAACTACATGACAGAATTAGACACAGGCAGGGCCTCTAATTTAGAGACAGTGGAAAGTGGTCCAGTGTGGGGGACGATGGAGATAGAATCTCCTGACCAGAGGAGACAGAGGGAGGATTGTCTAAAATGGGCTGGATCTGGGAAGACGCAAAGGCATTCCTAAGAGAGGCAACAGCAAAGCAAAGTGCAGGAAAAGTAGGATGCCCTGCACTAGGAGCTCTTGGAAGATCAAAAGCAGTAAATGGGTTGTAGAGGATCTCAAGCCCATGGCCTGGACTCCAGAGATGGTAGGAATCAGTCCCACTGGGGTTTACAAGCAGGAGGCAGAAAGGGTCAGTGGCTTGTTTCTTCCAAGGTCTCCTTGCAACCAGCATGAAGAACAGGTTAACACTGAGGGGGAAAACACAAAAGCGTAACTCAGTAGGATGCTGCCACTACACAGGAGGGGGTGATAATGGCCTCAACCCAGAGGAACAGCTGGACGGGAACATGAAGCCATGGAACTGGAAAGAAAGGGCCACAGAACATGCGAAAACAGACACCAGGGACCTTCTCCGTGGGCCATGCACAGGATCTGCACCAGGAAGACGGGGACTTGGAAGTCACAAGGGTTAGTCCCTGACCAGGAAGGGCAGGCAGGGACAAGGAAGGCAGCAGCACTCTTAAGACACACCTAGGCAGGAAACACACAGAAACAGCAGTCCGGGGCCAGATCAGGAAGGGTCTCCGTGCCAGGCTGAGAACTAAGGACTTCAATTCAGCGCAGGGGTTGCAAGCTTGGCCCTTGGAATGACCCACCAACACGCTTCATCTGGTGGACTTTAAAAACTGAATTTCTTGCCAATGTTGAAAGCCACAAAGAATGCATATCATAATTTTTCTTTTTAGTACAGGATTTGTGCAGGGATCTGGCAATGCCAAGCAGCTGCCCTCTGTATGTGGGGTGTGGGTGCTCCAAATGAACATGTGTCTCCATCACCTGTCCTGCTGTTTCCTCTACTTATGCTAGATAGGCATGTCTGCTGGCCCTCGTGGGCCTGAGAGTCTGGCAACTTGGCTGTGGAGCAGAGTCCTCACATCTGCTGGAGAGAAGTCAGTCCTAACAACTGGTTTCCCCAGGGCTCCCCTCAGTAAGGGAAGGTGTTGGTCTGCCACTGATCTGCTCTTGACCAGGTGTTGGTTCTGAGCAGGGCCTATGCTAGGCACTGCCCAAGGTAGCTTCCCATCAAGTCAAGAGAGAAGAAAAGGAAAGTGGCACCTGGGACATTGAGGGTCAAAAGCTGTGCTGGCCATACCAAGGGCACCTCAGGGCTTGAAGGGTTCACTGAGCCTGGAGCAGGTCCCAAGTGTTTGGCTTCAGCAGCGGCTAATGGGTGGGCAGGGCTTTGCCCATCCTGGAGCAAGAGAAGAGCTCTCCAGATGGGGATTGGCTGAGCAAAACCAAGACCCAGGAAGTTATAGGAGACTCTCTCAGCCAGGGAGGGGTAGAGATGCCAGGCTTTCTCCCCAGGACTTGGTCCTGGCGCTGACTCTCATGAAAAGGCACTCACCGAGGGTCTGCTGGTTGCGGACGCCGCCGATCACCACGCAGATCTCAGCAGGCACATCGCCGGTGCCATCCTTACTGACAGCCTTCTTATCCTCCTTGGCCTCGCCCTGCCAGATCACTTCCTGGATGTAGTCATCAGGCAGCTCAGTCTTCACCTTCACCTCCGTCATCGTCCCCTGCTCGGCACTCAGCGAGGCCTCGGCAGGCACAGGCTCTGGGCCCTCCACCTTGGCACTCTTCTGGCTGCGCTTCAAGCGCTCCCTGGGAGAGAAGAGAGTCTGCTCAGAGTGAACCCCAAACCTGTCCCGCAGCCTACATGGGAGCCCAGTCCATGGTACCACACAGACAGGCCAGGCTGGGTATACAGTGGACAGTAAGGCCCCAGCCCACTTTAACTTTCCATAACCCTCCTGGCTATCCAAGGCTCCTCCAGGGAACCCCAGGGCTCCATGAAACAGTCTGAAAATCATGAGCTAGTATGGCTTCAACTGCACCCCTTTCACAGATGGGGAAGTTAGGTCTAAAGAAGTCCAGATGTGCACAGCTCCTGCCCTGTTTATACTTAACACAACTGGAGTTATGTGGAACCTTTTAAAAGGGCACCTCTGGCTGGTTAAAACGTTTTCCACTTTTAGTGTGCGTAGCAATCAGACAGGAACCTGGACAAATGCAAGTTCTGGTTCAGCAAGACTGGGCTGGTGCCTGAGATTCTGCACTTTCAATCAGCTCCCAGGTCAGGATGATACCTAGACTGCTAAATGTGTTTTGCTCTGAGCAGCAAGGGTTTGAGCGAATCACACACTCACTGTTCCTTGGTAAGGGGGCTGGAGAGCTCGCCTCAGCTCTTCCATCTCCTGTGTTACGCATGTGGAAACTGCAATCCCCAAAGGCTCCCATGGCCGAGATGTCATGGGGCCAAACTTGGGTGTGGAGGTGGCTCCTTCAACATTAGAAAACATCTCCGAGGTACTGAGGCTGGTAGTGAGCAGGGCAGGACGTGTTATTGAGCCTTTGTTACACGGGAACACCGAGGCCTACAGCAGGATCGTAACCCACTCAGACACCCACACAAGCAGCAGGAGGCTTGTCAACCATTCCTGAGCCATTCCCTTTCCCACAGGATTGTGTGCCACCCTGTAGCCCCACATCCTTTGGCAGGCAAGCAGTCACATGACTCCTCTTTTCTGAGGGCGAGAAACAGAGGCTTGTACCCACAGTCATATTCTGGCCTGAGAATACATCCAGACTGGATTCCAAGGCTGAGACTCTATGGACAGGCAGGCAATGCCCCTCAGCAAGCCAAGTGAGAACCACCGAGGTGCCGGAGCAGGGAGGCAGGGTCTCAGCTCTGATTCTCATCAGTAGGGGGCCTTGCTGTGGGCTCTGGACCAGACCCTTTGCCTTGCTGGGCTTTAGCAGTTCCAACTATCACAGAAGCATCAGTGGTCTCATGTGTGTTGTCCTTCCCAGCTGCAGAAGTCTCCCAAGCTGGTGAAAATAAGTAAACAAAGGGAAGAGTCCAACTAATGAGAGGACGGCAAAGAAGGCTGCCAGGGAAGTGCTCTGGATCACACTGTCCCTGTCAAGTTTCAATGCTGGTGCCCTGGCCCCCTGACTGTATCTGGAGTTAGGGTCATTAAGAGGTCCTTAAAGTTAAATGAGGTCAGGAGGATGGGGCCCTCAAGATGGGATTAGTGGCTTTATAAGGGAAGGGAGAGGAACGGAAGGAAACAAGGGTGGGGGGAGGAAGGGAGAAACAGACAGACTGATAGACACTGCTTTCTCTTCCAAAAAGGGACATGGTGGAAGGTAGCCACCTGTAAGACAGATTCCAAGCCAGTTTGTACCTGATCTTGGATCTCTGGTCTCTAGACTAGAAAAGAAAGACATGTCTATTGTTTGCTTAAGACACAGTGTCTCGGTGTTCTACTACAGTAGCCCAAGTAGACTAATGGAGAGGTGAGGACTCAGTGGGACAGAGCAGGGGTGACCAGGCTGGGGAGACCATTCCAGGCACGTGTAGTCTACACTGGCCACCTCACTGCTCAGCCTCAGAGTCTCCTTTTGCAAAGTCCTTTTGCAACCAATACAGTTGTCATTTTGGTTTTAATCAACAAACACACAGAAGACACTCACCAGAGTATGTGGCCTACAACTGTTCTCTTGACTATTGACAATGGCCTGCAGGAGTGTCTTCAGCATGCTGTGGCCCAAGGATGTCCCTCCTCAGTGTGTCTGCACATCAGGGCCACCAGACACCATCTGAGCCTTGGCCCTTGTCTACTGGATGATTCAATCAACTAAGAAGTCATTTCCTTTACTATTTAAGAAACTTAAGTTGAGTTTCCTATGTGCCAGGCATTGTTGTAACACAGGGACTCCTTTCATTTTTCAGTCACAGCCCTGGCAGGTGAGTCCTGGCTTATCTCCATTTACAGTCCAGGAAACTGAGGGACTAGGAGACACAATAAATGTTCACAGACATACATGTGGTGAAAAATGAGGTCAGGGCCTAATGCAGGTGTCTTGCTGCTCAGCCACAAGGCATGAATTCCTCTCCTGGACTGGGGACAAACTTGTAAAAAGAAGAATCTCCCCCAGGTAACCCCAGCAGCACCCCAGTCACCCACTGCTGGCCTTTTACATATTGAGCAATCAAACCAAGGTGCTGGGGTGGTGGGGCACATGAGGACAGGGGGCTCCTTCACTTTCTAGTTGCCTGCAGGGGGACATCCGAGCTAGAGCCCTGGGGGAGGGAAACAGGGTTCCCAGCAGGCTGCAGGGTTTGCACAGGGCAGAGAAGCCTCGAAGTTCTGCAAGGCCCCAAGAGATGACAGGACCAGCTGCTCTAAGAAGTCTCAGGCAGAGGTGTGGCTCTGGAGAGGATGGTGATTCCGGCCTGCCAGTAACAGAAAGGAAACCCAGCTTGGGATGGCCCTGGTCAAGGATGACACTGAGCAGAGGCTGGCTGTGGCCAGATGGGAGTGACAGGTCATAAAGTGAGACAGAAAGAATTCCCAGCTTGAAGGTGAGTCATCCCAGAGGCAAACTTTGGAACTACTGTTCTCAGACTGTGGGCTCCTACACAGGGGACTCTGTCTCGCAAAGTCTTGGTCTTCAGATCTACACAATGGATAAACATAGAACCTATGTCACAGTGCTGTAAGGTCCAGAAGGACCTCTGACAGAGGCCTCTGTGGACATCCTCTACTGGTGTCTTCTCTTTTCTATGGGAACAGGGCAGGGGAGGGCCACTGTGTGAGTTATCTCCTAAGGCCAGTCCCCAGTGTCATGCTGTGAGAAGTGATTACAGCACAAGGGCGTGGCCACCAAAGGATGAACACTGGTCTTGTAAGAGCAGACTGTTTTAGACTGAGTCTGACCCAGGAACTGTTCTGGCTTCCCATCTTGCCATGTGACCTCTTCCTCCTGCAACTGGGCCACCATCTGCCAGGAGGGCCAACCAGAGCTGAGCCCACGCTGGTGCCATGCCCTTAAACTTGGAGAACTACAAGCTAAAGACACCTCTCTTCTTTATAAAGTATCCACTCATAGGTATTTTGTTACAGCAATGAAAAATGGACTAATACAGAGAGTGAGCAGGATATATAAGGGAAGGATCTTACACAGCACATTTGAGTGTGTGGCCTGTGGACTTAGCTGATGGGGGTTCAAATCCCAGCTCAACCACTGCTGGGTAGTAGGACAGCAGCCTGGGAGAGCAAGGACCTTTTTTACAGTTGCTCATGGAGCAGAGACGATCATGCTAATGGCAGCTGGCGGCAGACCTCATTCATCAACATGAAAGAGACACAGAGTTCTATTCACTGGCTGAGTCTACTAGGTGCTAATGACCAACCAGTCCTATCTGCCTTGAGGCTTGCCGGCAAAAAGACAGGACAGATGGGGACAGACAGGCTTCCCACCCAGATGCCCTTGCTGCTGATTTTGTCACTGCTGATGTTCTAAAACAGACTGATGTCCTTTCCTGTCCCCCAGGTCTTCACCAACTCCATAACACTGATTGGCAGGGAGGAGCAGTGGAGTCAGACAGCTGGGTGTCACTCACCTGTCCACCAGGTATGCCGAGACCTTGAGCAGAAGAGCCCTCTCTAAGCCTCAGCTTCTTCAATTGTTACAGGAGGACCACGATCCAGCTGGCAAGGATGATACCCATGAGAAGCCAGCCAGGGATGGGCAACAGGGAGTGACTTTTACAGATGGCAGCTGTCATTACAATGACAAGGGTTCACAGTGTCCTCCTCTCCTCTGGGAAGCCTTCCAGCTCTGATGCCCTCCCTGAGTGTCATATTACTTTTCGAAGGTGCTTCTTCCAGCCCTCCTCACACAGCATACTAATGATTCACCTTGGTACAGGCCATCCTCTTGCTGACCACCTGCATCTAGCTTCCATCACCTCTCTCTGTCTTTTTCCTTCATGGCCCCAGCTGTCATCTGAAAACAACCTGTCCACTTTTGACTCACCACATCATATATACCCTGAGGAAGTCTGCACTCCCAGAGTCCTGGCACTCAGGGAGTAGGTGCTTCAATCTGCTCTACTTGCCTAATGACTGGAAGGATACCCACCTCCTCGGATGTGGGCACCAGGACTTACGCCTGCTGTGATTGACTGCTGAAGGCCCGCTGAGACGGAGGTACCCTGTAGAATGGACAGTCACCCACGTGCCACAGGCCTGGGAACAACTGCATTATGGAAGAGCCCTTTTCTTTTAAGACACAAGGATTCAGCAAAACCACCCATTGTCCTATCACTGAACTACCAGCCTCCAGTCACCAGGGGTTTGGGAGAGGCGCGGGGCAATGGCCTCCCATGGGAAAGCAGACTCCTCCCCAGTTCTGCTTACACTTGGTACCCCAAGCAAATCAAGAGGCCATAATGAATATCAGAGCTGCAGCTGTGACCAGTCAGACCCCTGGCTTAGCCCATGGAGGATGGGAGCCAGGGGAGCCACCCACAGGCTCAAGAGCACAGAGCCATGCACACCCTTAACCACAACAGCCCGAAGGCGTGATGGCACCAAGGACACATGCAACTTCCCTCTCCTCCCCTGACTTCTGCGCCTTAGATTTACAAGCCCAACACTGCTTTTCTTGGATGCTCTGCATTTAATTAGGTGTCCTAATAACAATGGAATTGCAGAAGTACTTATATCACTTTGAATTAGTGGTGCAGCTCCTTCTAACTTCTTTAAAAATTTTTTTCATATATCATTCTTTAAAATAGAGCTCATTATTTT